CTAAGAAAACTATGCATCAGTGACCTTCAGTGTGCACGTTCAGGTATGAGCACATAGAAACCTTATATGTCTGGATCGCAGTTGCATTCCCACCCACGATAGAGTTGCCCAAATCCCACACATGACATGCTCATCACTTGGCTCAGGCACATCTGAGTGTGGCCTCACGTGTCGCACTCAGATCTGGACCTGAATTCCTGCAAAGACCCGGCTGCTTGTTTTCTGCTCCTCACCTGCCTCACTGATGAGGTCGACGTCTGAAATCAAATATGAAGTGCCATTCAGAGCAACCGGGATCGGGTGGCCACATCTACATGAAATGAATACATATGGTGAACCATTGCTATCCTGCTTATTTTACTAATCCCACCCAGCCAATGACCCATTTAACAACGTGCTCCACTTCAGTGCATATATCCACACACTCTGAACAGTATTCAATGAGTGTTTAGTTGATTGCCTTCACATTTTTCTTTTTAGAGGTGTTTAAATGTATGGAGTATACAGAGCTATCGTGTTTTGCTCAATGTTCAACACCGTAAAAACTTAATTCCTCCTGTGCCACGAGGTCCCACACTTGGTTGAAACTCTCCTGAGAGTGAGTGTTTTCTGCAAGTCGTTGTGCTCAGAGACTTCCAGCGGCGCAGGACCAGCCGCCAAACTTAGATCTGCCCGATAAAGCCTCAGATCAACCCGAAACTTCCACACTCAATGGACATCTAAATCAGACAATCTGAGTTGCACCACAAAACCCGAGAGATCGGGGCTGTAATTCGAAGCTCCGGTTTTAACACAGACTGGAAAAGTGAAGTCCTGATCAAAGGCCCCCCCCCTGCCATTCGATCCTCAGTGAGTAACGTTTGTTTTCTTGTCGCAGCAGATGTGCAAAATTATTGAGTATTTGGGTAATACAACTGTTTGGTTGTTGCCTCAAATGACCTTTAGATCAGCAAAAAAAAGGGGAATCCAAGAGAAATATTGCTTAATGTAATTTTCAGTGACATAAATTAAGTTTGCCTGAGTCTTTTTACATATTTGGAGAGATCTCTGTCGGTTTCTTTTGTTGGACAAGATATGTGAAAACTCCCAGGTATAAGGGGAAAACCAGAGGATTGTTTGTGAATGAAACCCTACCCTATATTTAGAGAGCACTGCGTGAGGAGCTCTGCAGTCAGTACAATGACCTCATCAAGGATTCACAGGGAGCTGCAGTTATTTTGGTCTTTTATTCTTGTATTTGCTCTCTGAACAAAGAGTCTTACAGTTTCATTTAAGGATGGCTCACACTTTAAAATGTGTGTGGACAAAGAGCAAGAATTAACCAGAACCTAGAACCAGACAGTCGGATTTTTGATGTGGAGCTTCCTAAAAATAAGGATCAGCATGCCAAAATTACATTGAATATAACATTGAAGTAGCTGTCTGGATTTTAAATAGCTTGGAGACATCAGCTTCCCCATGCTGTTAATTTGGCTGCACAAAAAATGTACTATGCAATATGAGTTTTGTGCATCTGCATTCACATTAATAAATAATATTTATCTTCATATTCTTTTAGACCACATGCACGTGCGTACTTCCTGTCTCCAACCGTTGCGGTATACTGCCCCCCAGTGGTGTTGATGTCACAGTGCAGACAGCAGGGGCTTTTTATTTTAATTTAAAACGTAACCCACAAGATTTCATTTTTCATTAAAGGTTAATATTCTTCTGTTCAGATGTAATTTGATTTTTATCCTCAGAGCAAGCTTGCAGTGACTGTATAGTTCTGTTGCACAAGTTTTTGTCCTTCGGGAGCAAACTTTAACTAGATTAGGTGGGCATCATTTTTCAGGTCACTAAGTCTCTTTTGGATAAATTCAAGGTGAGTGTTTTCAATATTAGTATGTGGGAGGCTGCCATGAATCAAATAAAAGGTCACCTTTTTTATTAGATACAAAATGAAGATCTGCTCTCCACCACTGGCAGATATGAGATATTGCAACTGTTTATTGTAAACTGCTTTGTACTTAATTACCCTTGAAATTCGCTATGGAAAAAGAGATGAATGCATAGATGTAAATAAAAACTGTGCTTACTAATTCAGCAACAACGTGAAATTAGTAATTTCTTTAGATCTCCTTTAAGTTATAAAGATTTTTAGATTTTCAATAGTCAGATTTATTTAAGAATGATAATTTAAGCATATAATAATAGGAAATACATCAGTACAGAATAAACAAATGTGTATTAACTGAAATAAATAAATTAGTAAAGAGAAAGGAATAACAGATAACATGCTAAACTGGCATCAAATGCAGAAATTGGGAGAAGATATAAAAAAGTTAGAAAGACATCTTCCATCATACACATCTTTATATATGATATAAAAAGTATTCTTGAACAGACAAAATGACAAAAACATACTCAACAAATAGTTGTATATCTTACATTTACATCTCAACCTCGCAAGTGAAGCTTTTCCTTCCTTTACAATCAGGATGAAAGTGATTCACATAAAAGTTCACTTATTTATGTTGAAAGGAACAAAAAACAAAACTAATTATATTTAGGAAGAGAAAGAGGAGTAAAAAGGATGAGATGAATTGTTAGTCTGCACAAAGGACAAACTGAAAACAAATGTAACACAAAGCAACAACAGAATTTGAAGCTCAGCAGAATGAAGTGCACTTTGTGGATGCGTGTCGCGTGTGCTGCACGCTTATTTCATACACAGAAAAAGCGTTTATGCGGGAGGAGGACACAGAGCGGGCAGTGTTTGAGCTGGCTTTTATAACCTGGGAGGCCCATGTGAGTCGCATAAGCAAACGATGCTCCAGAGTCAGCCAGTTGTCTTCGGAGGAAGAGGAAGGCTGCCAAGAAGGTGGGAGGGGTGTCTCTCAGCCCCCGCTGTAGATCAAGGTTTCCCATTTGCATCACACAAATCAGAGCCATGATCAGAGTCACCTCTGTGCTGGTGTCTTTTACAGACCAACGTGCATTTCTACTGGTCTGACAGCCTGATAATGTTAGTTTGCATTGTAGTTTGGCAGTACTTTACTCTCCCCCACTGGATTTCTCATGTTTTATCAAAATGGCAGAGCATTTCTTGGGTTAGCCACTCTCCATTCAGGTCCATAAAGAGTAACAACTGCTTTCCCAATAGCTTTTATGGAGAACCATGTCAGTGTGCTCTTTTTTCTTTGTTTTTTCTATTTGGAAAAGCAACAATTTGTCATTGACAAGCCATTAACAGAGTGAAAAAACACCCTTTAAATTCAGAAAAATAAAAAGTCACCACAAAAAAAAGACAAACTACCACAAGCACGTTGCCACTCGTTTTATTATCAAAGGCAGTAAAACAAGTCACAGAGACAAGCTGGACAATGAGGTCAGAGTACAAATGCCTGATAACCAACTATGGTTTCTGAACCCTGCACTGGTATCCAGGGGATTGTAAACCTACATATCTGTTTGTGAAAAGAGGGGAGAGTCAGAAACAACAGACCACACATGCATATCAAGATGTCCCAAGCTGAGAAATAAACACTATAAACGTCACACAGCAGCAAACTCTTGATGACATAAAGAAACTCTTCAAACAGAACGGTCATAATCTCAGGTGTTATTTTATACCAAGAGATTTTACAGAGCTAAAAAGTGACTTTAAGGACTCGTGACCACATAAAAAAGCCTCACTATATTGCGCCACCAAAGTTTACAAGTCAATTAAAATCAGTCTAAAGTTTTACATAGTTATTTTCAGAAGGTTTTGTGAAAACATTGCAGGCTAAGATGCACTATTAGCCCTCCGTAAAGCTTTCCTTCAACATTCTTATGCTTGAAGGAGTTGCACTTTAAACAATCAAAAATGTCATTAGATTTTATGTTTAAGTTAAGTTTATTTAATAGTATTTGGGACACCGCAGACTTCCACGCATAGAGCTGATGGATTGTAGGCATCCGCATCTTAGAAAGTTAAAGTACAAAGGAAAGCTAGTGTGCTTGGTCTTTGAGATGCCCTAATAGGAGAAAAAATTAACCAGTCAAAGAAAACCAATTAAAGTCTTTGGTTTAAGGGTTTGAAAATGCCACATATCAAGCATTATAAATGCGAAACGAAAAGTAATTATGAAGAATCAGTTGGACCATTCCAGCATTAGTAGGTACCAAAGTCAAAGTTTGTCTTTCACTGTCAATTTGTTTGGCATAGGTTTGTTTTTGTGGCCTTAACCCCATTTCCCCCAGCAGACAGAGGTGTTCTGGTGTTGGGTTGACTGGGGCCAGCGTGCCGTTTGCGTTCTCTCTGTGTGCCCAGACACTTTTATCTTGGCTCTCTTCACACAGAGGTGAGTTGTTGGGACAGTGAAATGGTGACGGACAGGACTGACTTCTTAAAGCGTCCTTTATGACCACTTTCTGTGCGGTTTCCCATGGACGGGGTGGGAGGGGCTGCCCATGAAGGAGAGCGGTTTGTTCGGTGACCTCCGCTTCCTCGCTGAATCAAAAGTCTCCGGGTTCTAACCAGTGATGGTTCCAGCCCTTTGAATGAGGTTATTGATCCTCCTGGCATCTCTGGCACTGATGCCGCTTCCCCCCTGCGAGCCTCAGCACAGCAGATGCCACCTGCTACCACAATATAGCGGGATTACGGCGAATAGAAAGTTCATTTTCTGAGAAAATAGGCAGTTTCTCCAACTTTCACACCGGGGCGTAAAGCAAACAAATGAGATGTGTGCAAACATGTTGAAGATTCAATCACCCTGTCCTAAAAGGGGGCTTTGGCTCATGCCTCCACTCTATCAGGCCTGTTGCAGACCTGGGTGTCATCACTCAGGCTCCATCCTCCCATCCAGGCCTCTCATGAGGACCAGTTCCACCTGCAGCACAAAAGAAAAAACCGAGCATACCAGAATGTGATTTGGTGTCTCTCCTGAGCACCCTGTCTGCACCAGAGAGCAGAACAGACCCGCCATTTCCCCCTCCTCAGTGGTCTTTTTTTTCTTATTTTCTTTCATAGCGCTTTAAAGCCGAGTAACGGCGGCAGGAGGAGGAGGAGGAGGAGGAGGAGGAGGAGGAGGAAGAGGAACGGGAGGAGGAGCGGCGACGAGTGGCGGAGCGGCGGAGGCAGGCAGGCTGGGATCCGGTGTGCTACATCGGGATGAGAGCGAGACAGAGACCCGGGTCGGATGAGTCAGCGAACGGAACTTGCCATCCCGGCATTCCTGAAATCTGAATGAATCTGGCCGGAGCCGCGAGGCACGACAACAAAGAAAAAATCTCCTATTTTTTCGGTGGTTGTTGTCAGATTCCGCCTCCTTTTATTCCGCCCTCCCCTGGTCCGCGTCTGCCATAGCCTAGTTTTGATTTTCATTTCCACCGAGGTGGGGAAAAAGGGGGTTGAGGAGAGGCTGCGGAGGAGGTGGAGGTTGTTTTTTCACTTTTGAAAGAAATATACAAGCGAATATCGGAAGATAAAGCGGTTCCAGCCTCGCATTTTTCAAGTCTTTTGTTGCGTTGAGTCGAGCGAAGATGTCGGGGCAGAGCATTACGGACAGGATAACTGCAGCCCAGCACAGTGTAACGGGATCCGCCGTGTCGAAAACAGTATGCAAGGCCACCACGCACGAAATAATGGGTCCGAAAAAGAAACACTTGGATTGTGAGTATCTTTAAACGGCACACGAGTGTTCAAGTTAACCCACTGAAGGCTTTTCCTCAATGAAACAAGGCTGAGTTATGGCGACGGTGGAGCTACAAGGCCCCAAAGCCTCAGCAGAGGCTACATGCTACTACCTGCTCATGTCAGGGAGATTATATTGTTTTTACATGGGGGACAGGCCTTGTTGACACATTGTTGTTGGCTGTTGAGTAGGTTTAAAAAACAAAGCAGTCATTATTAAAGCTTTCCAAGTTTTCTTCCAGTTTTACTTCGTTACTTGCCGTCAAATTAGCCTGTTAAGCTATCTAGTTTAGCTCGTTATCTCATACTGACTCATAGCCTTGAATCTGTTGGCCAGATAGCAAAAATAATCTACATGGTATGACTGGTTATTGCACAAAATGAAACCTGTATGTAAAATAGAACTCTGCTAAATTTAAAGGCCCCTTAAAGCACCTCTGCCATATGCAGTGAAGTGACTGAGTAATGTGACACCAGCTGTTTCTTGATGCCTCAGACACATTGAGGTGACACTATAAGGGCACAGATTGTGGCTGAGTTCTGCAAGAGGAATTTCCTTCCTCTTACAGACCCCGAAACAGATAAGTTACATACTATATGTGCACTGACGCAAGCCCGAGAGCCTAAATCCTTGTGTGATGCCACCATTAGTCAGTGGAGTCACAACCTGTCTGTATTAGAAATGCAAAGGTTTTTTTTCTTCTATATCGATCTGTACATACAAATGTCCAGTGACTGCCATAAAAGTGGTTTTATGAAGGCCCTGTTTGACGGTTAAAGTTCATTTGCTCAGACTGCAAGCTCATCACAGTTCTTTGTGGATTTGAACAGCGAAACATGCTCCCTTTTATGCTGGTCATAATGGTAATTGTGGTGCATGTGTCGGCCTGGTGGTAAAACCTGTAGGTTCTGCACGTGTTGTGCGGCTGAGGTGACTCCCCTGTGGTGAGATGAGTGAAAGTTGGCAGTGACACTGTTTTGGCTCATCCCAAGGCAGTCAGCAGCCCAGTGTGACTGACACACAGAGCAGAAAGTCGGTGTGTGTGCTTTGATACCTCTCATTTTATGTTGACACATTAGGGATGGTGGTTGGTTGGGTTGGCAGCCAAAATGCACTCAGTAAAGGTTTAAATATTCCCTTTGTCTTTATAATGGTGCCTTGATGATAATCTGTTTGTACCTTGGAAAAGTAATGATCTCATCTAGGGCAATAACATGTTCTTTAAGTGCATTTTAGCGTACTTTGTACGTTTTATTAATAGTCAGTTGACGGTATTGCATTTGTCATTAGACAAGTTGAGAAACTACTATAAGTGTAGTATGATGATTTATTTAGATGAATAATTTGCCAAAATTTAAAGAAGCAATATTAGTTTTCCATTTTCTGTTCACATATTCGTTTGGATTAGTAATTTTGCCTATTAAAACAGTATCTGAAAAAAATTTAAGACATTCAGGCTGACGTTTGACTGAGCAAAGGCACTGATAAATGATGGGTTTAAGTCTCCCATTGATGAGACGGGGTTCGGATGTTGTCACCTGTGTTGGGGGTTAGTTGTGTTGAATATTTCATACAAAGAAAGCAATAAATGTTGTTGCATTTCAGTTTGATAAATTACCAAAAAAAGCTTGTCATGTTCAAATTCCAGCAGTTGACAGAAAACGGGAACTATTTTATCAGAAGATCAGCAAACATTAAGTTTATTTCCTGTGAACAAAGCTCGGTGTAACAGGTACATCTTAGTTTGAGGCTCAATGCTTGCTGAAGGCTGGTTAGTGTTCATGCTTATCCACATCATGGAATCCCAGCCCACATGGTGGTTGTCATTTTTGAGCCAATGGTGATTAAACATTTGGTCTACAGAATGACAGGAGATGGAGGAAAATGCCTACTTAATGTCTTAGTGTGATGACGGTGCAAACGCAAACGGTGTTTAAATCCAATGAAATGTTAGAATAAAACTAGGAAAACCCACAGATGCTCTCATTTCATAAGGAGACTCAGAAGAACTTTGATTGAATTATTCACAGATCATCAACATAGCTAATGTTTATTGAGCTGTTTCATTTGTTTTTTGCATTTAAAAACAAATAATGTTTTGGTGGTGCGCCTTCTACATTTGACAAAAGAAGAAGGATAAATACGTAAATTAAGGATAAGGACGAAATAAGGAACTCGTAATTGAAATGGTAAGCAAAAAGGAAAACAATTAGTAAAAAGTCAAACGCTGTCTGTTGGCCCCTCACCACAGCAGTTTGATAACCTGGCACATGTGGTTGGTGCTACTTGGTGATGCATCAACACTGCCAAGACACTGTTGCATAATTAAATCTGTTTTACATTAAGTTGAAATAAAGTAACTGCGTTTCTGTCACAATGACATACAAAGATGAACAATTTGTGATGGACATTGATTTCAGCTGCTTTTTGGAGGCACTGCATTTAGCAACATCCCTCTTTTTCATGATTATAACATGGATTGATTTGTGTCTTATGAATTAGTTGAGTGTGGAGTCATTGTTGAGGGACACTGAATATCTCGCAGGCAGATTACAACATGACAGTGCTGTCATTCCTCCCCCATATTCTTCTTCCTCCTCCTCCTACTTCTCGCGGCTCTTCTCCGTCATCCTCTTCTCTGGGCAGTTCAGCCACCCATGCTAACTGCTTCTGCTTCTCTGGAAGGTTATCCTGTCCTACTTAGAGTCCCCCGTCTTTTGAAAAAGTCAAATATAGGGCAGAAAGGGAGGCCCACTTACCCTGTCAGTCCGATCTCCGCTGTGAATGGCGTGGTCATCGGCGCTGATGGAGCCTGGCTGCTCCAACAAGCGTCGTTCAAAGCTGCTGGAGGAGCATAGAAGCTGAAGAAGTGGGACAGAACATGAGTGGTTAATGCCTTAATGCCCTGCGCTTTGTGCCGGTCTAAAGGGGAATGTTTGCTTGCTGTCAAAAGTCGCTGTCAATGTTGCCAGTCAAACATGTTTTAACACAAGATTTCTATTCATCGTGCTAATCAGTCTAATTTAACAAACTACCGGGCCCTTTTACCTTTGCGTCTTTGTGGACTACTGAATTTAATAACTTCATTATGGTAAGTCAGCCTTATAGTGCAGGGCTGGCTCAACCATTTTTATCATCATTTCATTTCTAAGTGATCAGAAGGACTAGTTAATTAGCTGTTTTGTATGAATGATTGAACAGAAAAAGCAGCAAAAGGGCCTTTTCTTTGCGGAAACGGTTACAGCAACCTTTCACATAAATGAAGTCATTGTCATTTGAGGAACTTATGGTGGCATCAGATTACATTTACATGTATTTCAAAGGCCTGGTGCATTTTAAAGTTCTCTATTAGGACAGTTTTTACTGTATTCAGATGGATTGCAAATCTAGAAGAACACAATAGATGACTGATTTTAAGACATTTGAATATAAAGGCATGATGAAAGAGTGCAGGCAATTCTCTCATTTAAAGTACCCATTAAACAGCTCTTAAAGGTCTGATAACTTGCTCATATATCCTTCTGTGTCACATTTAAAAAATCAGTAGGCTGGCCTCCTTTAAAATAAGCCTACTCTATTCTGATTAGCCCTCAAAAGTTGCCTGATCAAGCTCTGCCTAAAGTTCACCCAAATCGAAAAGAAATACTACCACATCCATTGAGATGGCTTTCCAAAACCTCACATATAACACTCTAAACGTTATTAAAGGGGCTTTGAAGAAGTAAATGCAGAAAAACTTGGCATCAAATGATCCATGCTGAATTCTTGTTCTTTTTGTTGAAGATTTAATCCACTGCACCAACGAGATGAACGTGAACATTCCCCAACTGGCTGACTCTCTCTTTGAGAGAACCACCAACACCAGCTGGGTGGTTGTGTTCAAGTCCCTCATCACTACGCACCATCTTATGGTCTACGGGAACGAGGTGAGGAGTCTCAGCAGACCACATCCCCTAATACCTCAGTGTAGCCTTGTTTGAGACCATTTTTCTCCTCCCTCAGCGTTTTGTCCAGTACTTGGCTTCAAGGAACACACTTTTCAACCTCAATAATTTTTTGGACAAAAGTGGACTACAAGGTATGTTTAGTTTTTTGTCTTCTTTCTGTTCTTTTAATGTTGCAGTTTTAACCACTTTGAAAACAACTTTACAATCAAATATTTTCTTCTTTTTTTTTTTAACTCGTGTTTGACGTTGCAGGGTATGACATGTCTACTTTCATCAGGAGGTATAGTCGATACCTGAACGAGAAAGCCGTGTCGTACAGACAGGTTGCCTTTGATTTCACAAAAGTTAAACGCGGGTAAATATTCAACTGTTTTCTGACTTTTCCAATATCAAAGCTGTCCTCTTCTCCTTATTTAGATAGATTGAATAGGACTTTTTGCTAATTTTCTTCATATTTTTTTTCACCACCACTGTTTGTTTGAACTAGGAAGAGAAGTAGCAAAGGAAGTGAAACGAATGGTCAGCAGATTAGCTCACGTGGTTATATTTACCTACCCATCTTCCTTTTTTCCCTTTGTTTTTACAGTGTGGATGGTGTAATGAGGACCATGAATACAGAGAAGCTGCTAAAGACTATCCCCATCATCCAGAACCAGATGGACGCCCTTCTCGATTTCAATGTGAGTTTAAGGTGAAGCCTCCTGCAGGTCTGCTGCTTGTCCGGCTGGAAGCTGCCCGTTTGTGGCCTACAGGCTGCGCAGAGCCTGCTGCTTTTCCACAACATTCAAATGCAGGCTTTTTGTGAGATCTCTGTGAAGACGTTTTAAGATAAATGCCTTGGCTGCCTGCTGTCCCTCAGGTCAATGCCAATGAGCTGACTAATGGAGTCATCAATGCAGCCTTCATGCTCCTCTTCAAAGACTCCATCAGGCTTTTTGCTGCTTATAATGAAGGCATTATCAACCTGCTAGGTAAGACCCTTTTCCACTGTTTTATGTCTTGATGCACGCCAGCATGTGTCTGTGTGTATGCAGCCACATATGTAAACAGATCTTCTTGTTATGTTTTTCTACATTAAACAGAGAAATACTTTGACATGAAGAAGACTCAGTGTAAAGAGGGTTTGGACATTTATAAGAAGTTTCTCACCCGAATGACTAGGATATCAGAATTCCTCAAAGTTGCTGAGGTAAATTACACAATAATTTGTCCCCTCAGAAACCAAATAACAGGCATGAAATGTGTGCTCTAACATTCAGGGCTTTATTTTCTCATCTAACAGCAGGTGGGAATCGACCGAGGCGACATCCCAGATCTTTCACAGGTAAGCGCAGACTCCTCCAGGCAGCAGAAAAAATACCCCAGATTTCCTCTCTCGAGAGGAAGCATTGCCATGCTTACTTTCCCTTATTTTCAGCTCCTTGCTTTTCTTTTTACATCTGCGCTTTCTTTGTCAGATTAGACCATAGACAGATGCACAATGCAGATCAAGTCAAGACACTCTGCATGATTTCCCTCTTGGGCGCATGTTTGCCAGTAGGAGTGTTCCTCCTCTTCTCTACCTGGCTCTTGTTCTTCCTCTTCTGCCTCTTATTCTCTCTTTGCTCGTCTTACCCTAATCTTCCTCAGCAAATAAAGGTGTTTATTCTTCTCTGCAGTTGCAGTCCACGCAATAAATCTGCAAACTAATACTGAAGATATTTCCAAATTAAACCATTAACGGCACACACTCCTGTGCACGTCTGCGAGGACCAAAATATTTTACCCCAAAGACCTTCAGTTACAATGCATTTCCCTCTGACTGTCACCACCTTTATATTCTGTATTTTCCCCTTATCTTTCCACTTTAGTTCACAGTTTGTGTAAGTACTGTTACTTCACTCTTCTTCTATGTCCGTGACTTGCCTCAGTGTTGTCTTTTTGCATGCCTCTGCTCTGACTCTGTCTCCCACATCGTGGTGAAAAACAGTTGAAGGAAAAAACACTGGCTGTGGTAAATTCTGTTCACTTGGGTCCTGTGTAGTTGAGGTGAAAACCAGAGTAGCTCATCTCGTGTAAAATGGCTGCCCTGTCGTGCTTAGAAACGGCCGGTTCAACAACGCTGGAGTTGTTGAAAGTGCCGTGGTCCAGTACGTCATCCCACAAAGATGTTACTCCCATCCAAAGTAGCTTTTTGGCTGGAATGCAGTCATTGATCAGTGGTGGGTGACTGATATCCCGAAGCTGGTAGAAACTTTGTAGTCAAATACATAAATTGGCGGATCCTCCTGGATAACACAGAATTTGATAGGGAGTAATGCTTTTTTCCGCTCCACCTTGGTTGCCCACCACTGTCTGTTATGGTGTCAATGTGTGTACAGTCTTCAATTTCTGAGTCTCAGGTAGTTTCTGACTGTCTGCTTTCTGTTACAACAGGCTCCCAGTAGCCTTCTCGAAGCTCTGGAGCAGCACTTGGCCTCTTTAGAGGGCAAGAAAGTCAAAGACTCTACTGCAGCCAGCAGGTACACCCAGCCTCACTCATCTTTTTCCTGGATTCCACCAGCTTTCCCCCTGAAACCCAGACATTTCCTGACCGTCTACCGTTGATCAATTATACTCGCCAGCTGCGCTGCATCTGTTGTGGATTTGTGTTTCCTGCAGGGCCAGCACTCTGTCAAACGCTGTGTCGTCACTGGCCAGCACAGGGATGTCCTTCACTAAAGTGGATGAGCGGGAGAAGCAGGCCGCTCTGGAGGAGGAACAGGCCCGACTCAAAGCTCTTAAGGTGCGCGTGTTTTCTAATGAACGGATTTGACAAGCATTGAATAAAGGTGTCCCTGTTGCTTGTTGACCTAAACTGGTTCTCTGTTCTTCCCAGGAACAGAGGCTTAAAGAGCTCTCCAAGAGGCCGTCCTTTGCTACTACTGATACATCACCGATCTCCACCACCGGGGGCACCATCAGCACAGCACCAGCCATTGACCTCTTTTCCACACCCAGCTGCTCTAATGGGTACCTCTTACATCTGCTGTCAATCCACTGATAGTGTTTGAGACATGATTCTTTCATGATTCTTAGGTCATCTTTATTATCTACTTAGAGAGCAGGCCATATTGTCTTTAATTCACTTTCATTGACACTTGCAACACCAAACTTGCATAAGTCTCTAAAACATTCCCATAATTTTACTGTCAGTGTTTTAAAATGATGGAAAATTACCCATCCTGATGTTAAAAAATGTAAAGGTTTTTTTTTTTTTTTTTTTTTTTAAAATCAATTGTCTGTGACTCTAAGATTTATTATCTGCAGCAGTAGAAAAAGGGCAGCCTTAACGCAGACATGCTGGAGCCAGAGACTGTTATGCTATCTATCAAACTGTCCGTGGAATACCTTGAAAAGTGATTAATTTATTTTAGAATAAAGGCTACCTACCATTGTAGTTGCTACATTGATTGAGACGATGTCATATTTGAATGCTCACAGTTGAAAACGCTGTCCCGTTTGTTCAGGGCTACAACCTAAAGGTTCACAGGGAACTAAAGGGGTGTTTATTTACTGTGTGCAGTGCAGTGAAGATGGAGAGCGACCTTTTTGACCTGCAGCCAACTTTCCAGCCCCCCCTTCAGTCAGGCTCCACAGGGCTTCCAGTGGCCACAGCGTGGGCAGGTAGACGCTCGCCTCCTCAACCCCTCCACCCAACATCTCTGTCTCTGGACTTCAGTGACTTTGTTTCTGCATGCTCTCCACTTGTTTGACTCTGACACCCACCTTTTCCTCTCCTCTCTCTTCTGTCTTTTCCTTCTTCTCTCTGTCTCTCTCCTCTGTCTGCCTAGATCCTTTCACCTCTGCTGAAGCTGGAGATGATTCCATGCCAAACCTTAACCCTTTCCTCTCAAAACTTGTTGTCGATGCCACTCACTTACCTGTTGTGTCTTCAGACGGTGTTAGCTTTTCCTCTAGGACGTCTGGTCATGAAATGTTTGGCGGTAACAACTCATTTTGTTTCTCCTCTGACATCTTTTCACTCCTCATATATCTGTAGTTGATTCTTTGCATGAGTAGCCCGCATGTTTAATTTGAATGTTGGTTATTTGTCTTAATTATATGAGTTGCTTCCTCTTGATTCTGTTGGTCTGAAGCTCAGACTGAGCTGTTTTCTAGCCTCTTTAGCGTGTCGTGCCTATCAACCGGTACCCTCCACATCCTGGCTTAGACCTCGTTTAGGCCATTGACTCTGCAGCTAGTGCTCTTCCTCTGTTATTAGACAGTTTGGTGTTTCATTTGTAGTGCAAAGGATGCCATATAGAGCTTTAAGTTGAAACCTGTTCTTACACTATTTTTGATTCTCCAGATCGTTACAATCCCTTTATTGAAACAAACTCATCAGTTTCAACCAATTACAAACGCACAGTGCGGATAGAACACTCCATCTCAGGTACTATGATGGCTCTCCATCCCAGCCTATGTTTCCTGGTAAACATGGCATCTAATGAAAATCCCCCCCCCCCAGAGCCATTACTGTGAAATGTGTGGTAGACATGAAATAGTATTAAAAGGAGAGTTTCACATTTTGGGAAATGCTATCAAATTTTTGTGCTCGAACGTTTGACACCACTCATCTTTCTGTGGTGGCTTATAAACGATTTCACTTCTTTAAGACTTCTCTAACTGCATTGTCACGTGTTCTTTTTTTGATGTTGTTAGAATTCTTTACTTTTTTTGTGATCAGGATATGCCAACATCTGCAATGATTTAGTGTCGTTCTTGTATAAGGCAATTGTCTCCTTTAGATTCTCTCTCAGATGCATTTGCACATATCGTTAATTTAACCGGCCACATCTCTTCTATTTCAATTGATCAAAGACACTGGAAGTAACTACAGATTCACACCGTGAGACAAACACTAAGTTTGGAAATGGGATGCACCTACGAGTGGTTTTTAATCCTATCAACGCCCTCAGAATTGATTTCCAACTGTAATTGTGAACAGGAGGAATGCTTAAAAATGTAATGCAATTTGTTTTCCTCTGGATTTAATTTTATATCATTCAAAACCGTAATCTATTAAATAAAATGGGTGAACGCTGAGCTGTTAAACATATGTCCTGAAATAACTTAAACGGAATCAATTCAGTTGCAGATTTTGTCTTCCTTGTGTGAAGTTATTTAATTTCCTGGAAAACATTTAGTAGCAGCTATTTTATTTGTCATGTCTGTTTAATTGTATGTGATTGATGAAGCTCAGAAAGACTCACATTGATTGGATTTGGGGCAGAACATGAAAGAAATTCATAACTAAAAAGCATTTAGAGCAGAGCTTTAGGATTTTAGAGGGCTCCATTATCTCGATGGAAGCTTTCACGTTGATTTGTTATAAGAAAACCCCAGACGTGAACTGGGAGGATTGGGTAACAATATAGTAGTAATTTTGATACCGTTTCATATAGGGCCTCACCCCTGCTTGCTTCTACCTTTTCAAAAAGCAGTTATTTTCCTCTCTAAAGAAAGCTAATACTAAAATACGTTTGACTAAAACTAACAATTAACAATTTCCCAAAATGTGAAACTATACCTTAGATCCTTTCCACTGGGTTGATACATTAATATCCTGCATTATTATACTGTCCCACATATGTAATTTATTCCCTAAAAATATAAAAATGGAGTTCTCTTGAAGTGCTAGCATACTTCTTTCTGCTTGTATTGTTGCTGCCATTTCTCTGCAGTCTGTCTGGCCTGGCCTTGAAATGCCTGTTCCTTTTTTCTTTCTTCCTTTTTTTTTCTCTTTTTCTTCCTGCTTCCTGTGACGTGTCAGACTCCTTCTGTGGTCCAGTTTCCATTGCTCAGCACCTTCCACATCAGGCTCCCTTCCCCACTGAGCCCTCTACTGTAGCAGGTCTATTCAGAGGTAGAGTACTAAAGGCTCTCTCCAGATTAAAGCTAGTTGTCCGCCACACCACTCTGCTCCTCGAGTATCTCATGACTTATGCTCGGAAATGTCGTCTAAAGCTGTAACTCTGCAACTGCAGCTGTTTTTAAGACTTTTTGTTGTTGTCTCTCTCTGAAGGATACTCAACACCACAGGGCCCTCCACAACAGTCAGCAGGGGGACTCCAAGTGGACTTTGAATCTGTTTTTGGAGCCAAAGCCGCCGGCAGCACTACCCTCAACTCCGATGGTGGGGATTTTACCTCTGTAATAGGATTCTGTCCTTTAGTTAGGTCATCGATCATAAGGCAACAGTCAGACTGGCATGAAGCTTCCTCTATGTTTAGATATACTGTAAAAGGCCAAGGAAGGGCCTGTAAGCTGCAGCATACTTGTGTCATGGTTCTTTTAAAAATGTATGACGGGTTCATTTATTTAAGAGGGAACCATGGGATTAGATGTTTATTTCAGAGAGCTGCATCAAGTTCTTAGATCCAGCTCTGGACTCTGATGGAAGGTTAGCCTAAACACATGGTTATTTTTTCATGGGATGAACTATATGGTGAACGTCAGTTCCACCTCACAGCTCCTCTGTTATTCACCCTTCACAGAGGTTTTTCCATTGGGGGGGGGGGTTAAAAAAGGCTGTGGCCTGCACCAGACAGCGTCAGCTGCTAAAGATAAGAGCAAACCTTCAGCAGGCGGAGCCAGTTATCTTTCAGCTGTCCGCATTGATAGACTAGAATGCAGCTATTTCTCGGCTCTTCATCTAAATGACCAATTCATATCTGACCGAACAGAAGTCCTGACCAGTCAGTCAGAACTGAAGAAGCATCTCGTAAGAGAGGGGGAAAAATTTTCATAAACCAACTAGAAGTTCAGCTTCATTCGGTTCAAGCATGTGTGATAGTTGTTAAAGACCAAAACCAGAGCTGCAAACCAAAGGATGATGGCTTTTGTTCACCTGGGTGCCAGAAATGGGACTCAATGACTAAATTATGTTTGCTAATGTCAGTGATATTCAGAATTATACGCTGTTTTTGTGTTTTTTATTTTTTACGTAAATGGTGAAGTTTGTTTCTGCTGCCACCAAGTGACCAAAAACAAATCTGCCTTTAGCGAGGAGTCATTTGTGATAACTTCTCGCTCTTATTTCTGTTTAGTTTGATCTGATTTCTTGTCATTTAAAACTGTAAGAAACTACATGTCAAACATTTGACATGTAGTTTTTCTTTTAGAATCAGGGCAGCCTTGAGTTGAATAATTGCTACTCGTGACGTTGTCTGTAATGTAATAAATTAGAATAATTAGGTCAAAATAATTCAATATATTTGGTTTGTTGTTTAGACTGAGACAAAATGCATTCAAAGTTGAACGATTCATCAGTTTGGAGTCCTGTTTTTCTTGCCAGATATTGCCGGAGGCATCCTGAAACCAACTCTTGCTGGCTCCAACCTGCCGTCCAATCAGCCGGAAAAGCTGGTGTCAGATGACCTGGACTCCTCTCTGGCCAACCTTGTTGGCAGTGAGTGACGCGTCACATTCAGTTGCTCTAATTAACACACTGGTTCATAAAGGCTGATCACAAATTGGCGACTAACGGCAGCTCAATTAATGTCCCTTTTTTAGACCTCGGCATCGGAAACGGCACGATGAAGAAGTAAGTGACGCCTGGCGGCCGGGGGGGGTCCAACGGCCGTTATCTGGCTGCTCACGAACTGCCGCTAACATGAGCCCTCTTAATCCACAGTGACATCCACTGGAGCCAGCCGGGGGAGAAGAGGATGACCGGCGGCACCAACTGGCAGCCCAAGGCGGCGCCCACCACGACCTGGAACCCCGTCTCCATGGTGACGCACTCGCAAAATTCGTTTGCTGCATGCCTCGTTTATTTTACCTCCGTCTTCGACAGGAAGCCGAACCTCCCGGGTTCTGTTGAAGCTGGGATGTCGAGGTTTTGACAGCTGTTCCATGTGTTGTAGAACAGTCATAACCTTTAAAATAAGAACTAATAACTAGAATTCATTCCCCAGCATGAACGCAGGGAATTGAAATTGACCTCACAGGTTGGAAAATATAAGTTCTGGAGTTTAGTCAGTTCCAAGATAATTAAAAAAAATATATATATTTTTTTTTTAAATGTGTGTTTTTAAAATGTTGTGCTAGTGCTGTTTTTCCAAACGCTCAAAGTTACCAGGAAAGGGCTTAACAAGGAATCTGAAGCAGTTCTGAGTTTGCTCTGTTTTTCCTCTGAAATGTCAGCCTCCCATAGACTGTATTTTTCATCACAGCCCAGAGAACCTGCTGAGGGTCTGCTGCTAATTCTTTTCTATAAGATGAAGTACCTATATTGATATTAAAGTAAATGCATGTAATTTTTTTACTTCTGCTGTTCACTCTTCAGTTGAAGTTTAGGGGTAAAATTCATGGAAAAAAACTTGGCTCTCTGAACTTGATGCGTGGTTATTTCTACAAGTGTCTTCTCGTCTCTTTTCAGGCTCCGTCGATCATGGCCTTCCCTGCCACCACCCCCACAAACATGATGGGATATGGCATGGTAGGTGTTGTGCATTGGGCTTTTAAGGACGTTGTTAAAACCTGTTGGAAGCCTTTCATGGTGTCCATAAAGTGTCCATGAACCGGTAAAGAAACCCTGTCCTCCACATCTCTGTGCAGCCTCCACAGATGGGCTCTATGGGGATGATGAATCCGCCCACCATGATGTACACCCAGCCGGTCATGAGGCCACCCAACCCCTTTGGCTCCGTGTCCAGCGCTCAGGTGGGTTCACAGCAGCCTCTCGGCCACACAGAGCCAATGCACCAGGAGTCTATTTGAGCGCTTATCAGGTTGAGTAAACAGGTGTGTCCATTGTGCCGTGGCGTGTTAGACACTGTGTAAGCTTTCAGTGTGATAACTGCAGAAGATGATGACAGTTTTACCAAACGAACCTTCACTCTCTGGAGCTGAAAGCGACAAAACTGTGCATCATCTCCCTTGTTTCGACCCTCTGTTCCGAACAGCTCCTCTTTATTAACCGTCTCTCATACATCACAGCTTCTCCAAACTAATCTCATCCCTCCTTCAGTCTCCGTACTGACTCTGACTTCTCCTCTGGTCCTCCTACTTCCTGTGTTAGCCCTCCGCAGCCTCTAGTCCTTCCAGCCAGAGTCCTCTCCGAGCCCCTGGACAGGACCCGTTTGCACACCTCTCTCTCAAGGATTTCTTGTAGAGCATCTCTTTAGGTACATCATGCTGTTTGCTTGCTGATGCACCTGCATGCGTTGTTTGTCCAAAGCCGAAACACGTTTGCTCTTGTTTTTGTGTAACCGAACGCTTGAACTCCTCTCGTGTGATCAGAACCCGACATGTGTTCCTCTCACTCGATTTGCCTTAATTTACCTTTGTTTGGGTGACTTCTGACCATGTGCTCCTCCACTTGCCATCCCCTGTTGCTCAAACCTGTTTCTGCTGAAGCTTGATGCTGCTGGTGGTTTTAAATGCCTGTTTGTTACGTTTCATCTCCCCTAAATAATCAACATTTCCATGACAAAATAACAGATTTTAAAAAAAAGAAAGTTGCTTGACTTTTGTTGATGACAAATGAAAATATGGTTCAGTTGGCATTTTGGGAATGAATGAATCAACTGAGGGTGGAGCTCATCAACTTTTCAAAAAAACAATTGGAACGAATGCTGAAACTGACAAATTTTTGTCTTGTTTTTGATAAGATGAATCATATTTAATCTGATGTTTGCAACCTGTTTAATGGTAGTTTGGTCATAAACCAAAGGGACTTTTTCTTTTGATCTTACAGAAATGGTTACACACTGAGTCTGATGCATGACATTAATCTGTGTGTTGGGTGTCTTCCCAGAGCCCGTTCAAAAGCTTAAAGGACCCCTCAGTCATACATTTCCACTTCCTGCTTCTTTTTTTTTGTCAGTTGTCGTCGTTATGTATCCTGCTGATGGCTCCTCGTGCTCTCTGAAAAAGAGAAATGAATATTTATCACCTTCTGAGAACAAAATGACTGCTGTCTAAACTTTAGCCCGTCCTTTGTCCCGTTACCAGCAGCCTGCTGAGCGTTTCCCATTCCAAGCCGTTCCACAGTAATGGCAGCCTTCTCTCTGCACTTTTTTTTTTCTTCGACCATGCGCCTATTATGAGGCGTACGGTTGAAGTTCCGCTCCGTTCTTTTGTAGACGGCCTTCTCCTTTAACCAGGCCGCCGTTCGCCTCACACCCCGCGGTGAGCTCTCATTGGCTCTAATGAGGTACCTGATAATGACCCTTTGCGCTAACCTCGGGATAAATTCTGCATCTTGATCGCAGTTTTTTGGGTTTTGGGGGGGCGCCTGCTTATGTGGGAGGAGCTTAGCGGAGACTCTGCGGGCCGGCTCCGGTTTCCCCGTCTCACCCGCCTGTCGCCTTTCTTACAGATGCAGTTCATGTAATTTGAAGGAAGAGTCTCTCAGAAGACGAAGCACTTAGCAGCAAAACTTTGTCCTCGTTGCAGTCTAACTCTTCAGAGAAACATCAACACCCCCCCCCCCCCCCCCCCCCCCCCCACCAAAATCAGACACGTCAAGAACACAACGGTGCAGCGACAGTCAGAAAACCATGGTAACCATGTCCTAATGGTGTTTGGCGATAGCTCACACCCATAATTCTGTGATAACTTGTCCGAGATGTCGAGTGATGCTGCTGTCTAACCCCCCCCCCCCCCTCCTTAAGAGGACTCCTTATCCATTTTACAGCGTAATCTGTAAAGATAGTTTGGGTGCTGAGAAACTAAAATGTTATGTATTTGGAGATACTGTGGTTGGATGTAAAGGCTTTGATGTCCAGCGGGGAGGGGGATTGAGGAAATAAAAAAGAAAAAAAGAAAAAAAAAGAGCAGCCCCTCCCTTTCTTGATCCAATCATCAGTCATCCACGCCCTGCGGTTATTTAACTGTCACTAAGTAGTGATGCTAATGACGTTTACACCTGTTTAGTTTTTGTCTTTTTTACCGTGTTTACAGTAGACATTCCTTGTGTGTTGTTTGTATTTATTTATGATTATTGGTTTAAGATTTGGGGGGGGGGGGATTATGTAAAATCTACAGTTGAACACATGTGGGAGTGCTTCAGCATTAAACAAGGATCTCAGACTATCATTAAGAGGTAGAGTTAAAAATAGATATTATATGAATTACACCTATTAAGCGGAATGATAGAGCACTAAATATTCTCCGAGTTTTGTGTTATGAAAATTTTTCTACTAGATGAAAGATTTCACGATCTCCGTTGTACTTACCAGTGCAGGGGTTAGAGTACGAGTCAGTTAACAGTATATAGTCGATTCTGTGCCTAGGGTCTTACTTTGCAATGGATGGGTGTCCTGAACGGAAAAACACGTCGTCCACAGATCTGAAGCGTGGCACTGGGTGGTGGGCTCCATTTGCTTTAAGCTTGGCATGCCATTGACTCACTGACTGTAATCAAGGCTGCCTTTACTCTGAATGTGAACGAGTTGTCTTCATGTTGCACACATCTTTCCGCACTGCAGTTCCTCAGCCAGAGGTGCGTTGTGGGCTGGAGGAGGGCCTCTGCTTGCTGGTTGGCTCGTCCTCGCACTCGTGAGGACACTTAAGAGGGTCGCAGATTCGATGTAAATTAGTTGTACAAAAAAAAAAAAAAAAGGATCCCGGGGAGCAGGTTGGAGCGGAGCAGCACTGTTGATCGGTGCCCTGTGTATATAAACACTGACTGTTCTTTGAGTGCAAAGGTGAAAGATGTATGAAATATGACAGCAATTCAATCAAATTTGACTCTACCTAAGTTTGATTCAGGATATTCTCTGCGTTTGTCTCCGCAGATATTTTCTTTATGTAATTAGAACGTGTAGCAGATGATGACTGAAGTTTTTTCTTTTCTTTTACAAATAAAGAGCAGCTTCCACAAACAGTCGTGCTGGTTTGTTTTTGTCAATGTGAGAATTGAAACTGCAGTTTTATCCATAACAAATTCTAGAGAATGGTTATTTACATTTAGAGGAAACTTTCATTTGAATTTAGCTCAGATTTCTTGTAACAGGTCATATATATTTTCTTTGCATTGTATGTGTACAAAGTTGATTTTTGCAAATGTCCAATGATACAGAATATTACAATTTATATGAGGATTGATCTGCACAAAGACACCGATGGGACACCATGAACACTTAGTTAGCTGAACCGCCTGGTAATGGTAAAAATGAATTACAAATAACAACTCAAGCTTTTACCTGAAAGGCCTGCCTCCACATCTGGATCATTATATTGAATATGTTCACTTTAGGGACTGAAAAGAACAATTCAGATTATTCACAAACAATACAGCAGGGTCTTTGGATAGCTAAAAACAGCCAAAAGCAAGTTGTTGATCTCAGAATTAAATGAACGGGCTATGATGGCATTTATCAGAGGGGCTGCTGCCCCTCTTCTGAAATGATGCCATGAACCATTTATCCATTATAGACGAGGAGAACCACATAGGAAACGCATCGGGCATAGCATGAGAGGTTTAAACAGAAATTAGGAGCATGTCTAACCTAAATTAAATGAATACTCCACGCTCAAATATCCTCAGAATATCCTAATTGTCATCCTTAAAAACAAGATTAAAGGCTTCCAAAAAACATTTGGGTTATTTAAAGACAACATTTGAGTACTCCATGCGGAGACTGTGTTTGTAAGCTGCGAGGTTTCTGTAAGTCACACTGTGTTAATGCTCCTCTTCCCATTTTCTGTTCAGTTTCAATATTCATTCTGTTACACGTCTTTGGAAAAACTGTGACCCCTCCTCTGGTAATTTCACTGACAGCTAAGAATATTCAGGCCTGAAAAAGGCCAAAGCAGAACCCACCCGCAAAGCAAGCTCTGAAGCTTTATCGGGGTCTCGGCGGGGATTTCACACACAGGTGAAGCTGATAAAAACACCACAATCCGGTCTGAAGAGTTTCCCCTCTGCGTTGGAGAGTCTGCAAACAGAAGTGGCCGTTAGGTTTGGAACGCTCCTGTGCTGATGGGAATGAGGTCATTCTGAAAATGTCACACAGGTTTATATCGCTGAAGTATTTGTAGACCTACAGATTTAGGGTCCACAAAATGCAACAAAAAATATGCAACAGCTGCTAAAGCATTAAAAATAAACATTTTCAGCTCTTTTTTACTTCTTCTATGTGAACATATATCTGAGGCAGACTGGGGTGATGGGAACATGTCTGGATCTGTGGATTTTTCCTGACACTGTCAGCCACTCGGGGCCGGGACTCTTCACATCTCTGATCCTTCTCTGTGCGGAACAGATGGGGAAACAGCGTCGTGTCTCTGACGTGAAATTGCTGTCTGACCTAGGCTTGTCCTGCCCGTCGGGGGGTGCCCCCCCCTCCCCCCTCCCCTCCCCACCTCTCCGCAGCCAGGCAGAGACGGACGACACCTGCTGGACGCTGCCTGTCATTACAGGTAGGGCTGATCATAGGACTGCCGATCAAAATTAACCTGCACCCCACGTGAAACAGCCAGATCTAAATGAAACCAAATAGATGAAGTGGGACATTGTATATTTCCACGCTCGTTGGGGTGGATGCTTCCTCTGGTCGCTGGTTTTCGTCAGTTTCAGTCCTCCGTACGTCAGATCGTCAGGGAAACACCCTCCAAACGTGGGAGTCCAGCGCATCCTGCGCTGGAAAGGCAAAGGAAAACCAGTCTGCGTTTAATTTTGCTGTGCGCCGACACACGCCACATTACGCTGCCTCTCTGTCTCCCTCGGAGCCAATCAGATTGCGGGAAACAGGGAGTCTGTGAGAATGTGAAGCTAAAAAAAATGTTTAAGAAAATTTTTCTGTGATATTGTAATCCAACACCACTCACAGGGGTCACCACATATTCTGGGCTTCGTCCTAATGTCCAGAAAACAAGCACCTTAGGTCAACTATTTGTCAAATTGTGAGAGGGTGTGGTTGTTTGTATCTGTGTCACCCTGCGATGCACTGTGTCCTGTCCAGGGTGCATTATGGATAGTGAATGTTTAAATGGATGATTAATGGGATTTGGATGGATAATGACCGTTTTGATGGGGCCCAGAGGAGTCGTTTCCTCGCTGCTTTTTAAAAAGCGAATACCGCAATGAACCACGTACGCGCGCACAGCAAAACAAAGCGGGGGCTGGCTTTGCCATCTCCCAACAAACGAGGGCTGACTGGAGCCAGCAGCAGCGGCAGCAGCTGTGGAGGAAGAAGGACAACTTCTTCAACTTTTTTAAAAATCTGGTTTGTCTTTTCACCAACACAGCTGGATGGGACATTTGTGAGAATCCTCAGATTGTACTGAGAGGTAGGAAACATCACACACCACTCGTCTCCCACTCAGATAACAATTTGACAGTCAGTCATTTGAAGCCAGCTTTACATTTAAGTTCAGTGTAGATGAAAGAAAAAAATCTGGTGCATTTTGGTTGTTTTTACATCTTTTCATCTATTTGAAGACATGGTCAATTTTAGATTTAAACTTTGAGACTGTTTATGAGGATTAAAAAGTCAAAGAGTTTGTGGCTTTACGTGTTGTTTCAGTCCCCTCCTCTGATAAGTTTGTCAAACCTGTGCACATGATCAATTTCACCTCAATTATGTTGAAAAGGATCCAAAAGAAAAGAGTGGAAACAAAGTTTTGCTAAGTTTTCAGGTAGTTTCAAACTTTTGGGATCTGGCCATAATGTATGTTTCTGAAAGTAACAACATCTGTCTGATAATGGGATGAAAAGCAAATAAGGAAATGTTCAGGTAAAGAATAAAAACTGGCCCTGGTTCTTACTAAACATTTAGAAATCTTCTCCTGTAATCGTTGGTACTGCATCGATTTTTTTCAGATGTTTTTTTTTTTCTTTTTATAAAAAACAAAACAAGAACGATATACATCTAATGGATGTCTCTATTCATTAGGCATAATCAGAAGACTGTTGTGTGGAAGTCAAGTCAGGTCGCCGGCTTTGTTTGTGGATCACTTACACTATTGTTGGTGAGTTTTGAGGTAGCCTTCAACTTTCTTTAAGGACTCAATCTCTCTTCTAATCTTTTAACAGGATTTTCCCAAGGGTTATATATTTGGACATAGGCTGATTTTGATACTTTTTGCCATTACTTGTACCTTTTCTGTGTGTTTGCTCAGCACTTAAAACTGAACTATGAATTATTCCAGCACAATACGGGATCCTATTTCAATGCTTGAACGCATCCACACATGAAATACTATTTCGCTGAGAATATTCCCATGATTCCCAAAGCTGGAAGCCTAATAAGGAATAGAAGAAAGCAGACAAGAGAGGAAAGAAGCGGGCTGAAAATCAGTCGCAGCAGGTCTGATGGAGACCGTTGTAGAATGAGGGTCACGTTGAATATTTCCTTTCGATGAAGCATGAACGTGTTCTGGTCCACAGGCCCAGCAGTCGTCCATCATTTGTACTCCTGAGAGAAGCGGGGGGGCGGAAGCATGATCGACCTGAGCCACCTGACGGAGGAGGAGCAGGAGGTGATACTGACCGTCCTGAGGAGGGATGCTGAGCTGAAGAAAGCAGAGGAGGAGAGAGTCAGGTAGAAACCATCACATCTGATAATATTATCTTTAAAAAATTCCAACATCCTTCAGCAGCTGTATCTTTCTTTTTTTCTTTGCCTAAGTTATTTTATATGGGCCTTAAGAGGCCCCGCATTTAGGTTAATGTCATGATGTCGAGCTAATGTGATTTTGCAAGTTCAACCTAGTCCCCCTCTGTGAGAAGAGGCATTTGTGAAACAGTCTTCGCTTAATAGAATAACACAATAACAGCTGTTCCGGACATAGATGCTGCTTCCAGTGTGGAGAAAATCTCAATGTGAGGTGAGCAATTAGATTACGGTCCAGTTGAAGCGCACGCACGGATCAACAGGATCAGGCCGATCTGACGGACAAGAATAGAAACCCTCTCTGATGAGATGCACGTAGTTTCATGCAACAAGTCCTCACAGTGGGAAAATGTAAGATATTTCAGCTTGAACTGGAAAACTGTTGTCTCACAGCTCTCCGTTCAGACTGAACGTGGGTCGACACAAGAGACGTCTTGATCAACCATCAAAATTCAACCAAAAGCAAACCGGGATGGAACATGTATTCAATTTACTTTTAAAGCCGTGCTTGCCACAAAACAAAGAGCTTTTCATTGTGATTTTAATGGAATTGGCTGGTTGGCCTTGTTGCCAGCGGGAGGCTGAATTGCTGGCTGTGTCTTGTCCGGTCTAGTGTAAAAGGATTAAGCCAACAGGCCATAATAATGTGCTACCCCTTTTTCACATGACAGCTGTGATTCCCCGATAAGTGGAAAGATGAGTTGGAATGGTGATTTTAAGACACAGGAATTTGTTTTGATCCCTCTTTCATTCAATTAGTACTTCATAGAAATATTTTCCAAATTCTGCCACTAAAATCGATCACGTGCAGCAACTCAGAAATGCTCACGCTTCACTATGAAGAAAGAGACACATACTGTTATTATATGTAAAGCTAAATAGGTTTTCTGCTCTAATATAGACAATGTGGGAAATCACGCTATGAAGACACTGTGAGGGAACACCTTTTACTTCCCAAAAGTCTGAAAGTAGGAATATCCTGACTCGTTTAATGGGGCCTGAGCTGAGGTGGACAGCAGTCTTCTAAATTTTGTCAATGTGGAATCCTTCATTTCATTAACTCATTAATCAAAGTTTGAGTTTCTTATTCGGAAAAAACTGCTATCTGCTATCTAGCTTGATTATTTGACCAATCCAATCTCTACACGCATTACATCAGAGATCCGAACAAAAAAAATCCAGAAACTAAACTGACCCGCCTGCTGTTCAAATCAACCAGCCGCTGAAAATATTTGGAGCACCATGAAACGAATGACCGAGTATGACAAATGACTCTGAACGACTTGTCTTCTTTCCTTTGTGTTCCTCCTGCTTTAGATGTAACTTCATATTTATAGATTAGCGTTTCCTCAGACCGAATTAAAAAGGTGTCAGATTCTCCATTCAGTACGACATAAAGAGGGCCTTATGTTGCCATTGTTCCTCTGATGCCTCGCTCGGCCGGCGTTAAAAAGATATAAAAACGACACCTAAGGCCTCCCTGACTTCGGCACCTGCGCGTGTCTCTTTTGTGTTTTCTCCCGGCAGGAAGCTGGAGAAGGTGCTGAACGACTGCTCGCAGACGGACGTCAAGCGGAAGTACCTGACGGGAGAGTGGTTCTACGAGGCCAAGTCCCTCAGGCACAACGACAAGATCCACGGCTCCGAGATCATCCTGGCGTCCATGAAGCAGGGGAAGCCCGTCGGTTTAGGTGGGCATGCTGCTTACAGCTAGTATGGTAGACATACCTAAACGTCACTAAACTTCTGCACCTGCTTTGTCCCGCAGATGGCTCTTTCAGACGTGACCGGTCCAAGTCGCCCAGCGGTCGAGGGTCAGACGCCGTGGCCCCGCCAAAACCTGCCAGATGTTTGGAGACACCGCAGCCTCAGGAGATGAAGTACAGTACACTGTTAATTCGACCTGCGTATCTATAAGATACCCATTTCCTTTACTTTCACGTCTTCCAGTGGCCTTTTCTCAACACTGGGGCACACCTGCCCCGTTGCTGAATCTTGACCACTGGACGACTTCTAAAAAAAGGCAGGGGTGTGTGGACTTGTGGTAGCAGCCCCTCTGGAAACATCTGGGAACTGGAGAAACCAGCTGTTGGACCCTTGGTGTGATAGCGACGGCTGCATTCCTGAGCCAGTGCAATGATTTCCACAAAGGAAATCTGTTTTTACTGCGCTCCAGATTGAAGAATGAGAAGTTCAAATCTTTATTTTCTCTCGTGCTCACAGAGAAGTTTGACACGTGCTGTGGCCATCAGATGCATTTATCCCAAATTACATATAAAATGGAAAGAGAAATGTCAAAGTGTTGCTTTGTGAGATTTTTGATTTATTAGCATTGTCTTTTATTTAATTTTGTAAAGCGTCCTGGCTCATTTAGAGTTGTGGTCTTATTTCAGGAGCTATTCAAATCGTGACGTGAGATCAGACAGAGCAGCTTCTCGTAGCAAACACATCATGTGACCCCGGCTGGATGAATTTGTGTGCGTTCAGTGTGCCTGTTGTCTTGTGACTCAACGTGTGCAAACATAGGTGGTGCCGACAGGAGCTAGACTGTTTTATAACCCAGTGGCTTCCGTACCATTAAGAGCGGGCGGCACGGAGAACAGATAAACACTTTAGAAAATTGTTTAACTCCATTAACCAGGAATTCTTTCCAGTGTGGAAGCGGCCCCACCGAGGATCACTCAAAAGGAACCGAAGCCTTTATCTCAGTGGCTTTGTGACACAGCTCGGGCTAATTCAGAACACGTCTGTTAAAGCAGAGTCAATATTTGACTTGGCCCAGCGTCTTGAGTTTTTGTAGAGGTTGTAAGAAACTCAGGTATTTACTCTGACCTGGCTTCGGTGGCTGTGCAGTTTTTAAGTTCATTACTGCATCACATGGACTCAATAGATTCAATTTGATTCATTTTCCTCTGTCGCAACATACAAAATATGTTGTTCTCCCAGAGATGTAGACTTTGTTTGATGTTTTTGTTGATTTGGTCGGATAGGCTTCTTTTTTTCCGATGTTATTTATAAGTCAGAAAACCTTAGTCATGCACACTGTTCTCAACCATTGAGACAAATACTTTGTTTATAGTAAGATTATGAACAGCAGACTCCGCTCTGTCCAGGCAAAAACAGCAAATCTTTCATTTTATTTGTTTGTTCTTCTCCTTCAACCTGGATTCATTACATATGATTTCAAATAACAGTCCCGGATAGCATGGAGCATTGTTTTACTGCACGGCTCTTTTTCTGTTTTTGTTGCTAAACACCGTATTCCCACTGCATTTTCTCTATAGAACACGATAGAACTGTGAAAGGCTCTGCTAACACAAGTCTTCCAAACCGTGGCCTGTCGTTCAGTAGGGGCGATTGAACCAAGTGGAGGGTGTCCTCCTTGGATTTTACCCAAGGAGGACACCCCCTACTCGGTTGGGACTCCAGGCTATAACGTGGGCTAAAAATATAGATCCAGATGGCTCTGGGTCAGCCTGGAGCTCTTTAGCTGTTGTTTGTTGCAATTTTTTAGCCCAATAGACACCAACCAGAATGGCCTCTTATTCATTTTGTGTTAAACGTTATCACGGGGGGGGTCAGGATGGGTGATGGTCTTGTGTTCTTTGCACTTGTCATGTTTTATTCAAACAATAGCTCTGATCTTATAACTTCAACATGGTGGGAAATTTAGTTTAACAAATGTTTTGAATTAATCAAAAGGATGGTAGTGGTGGTCATTATCATTTATCATATTAATTATAATAAATTTGGGGAGTTTCAATTAATTTAGATTTAGTTTTTACCGATTAACTAGTCAGCTGATACTTCCTGCTCTTTGTGTTTGAGTGAAGAATAATTTCAATTCCTTTTTTTTAACAGTGATCCGGAAAAAGAGAGTCGGTATTCAACAGTTTGCTCTCCAAAAATAGTAAGAATCTGGGTTATTTAACATCTTTCTTTGATACATTTTTCTTTCTTTGTTGTAAGTCTAAAAGCTGCAGTTGTAGCCTAAATCTCTCATTCTTTATGCTTTTCTTAAAGTCGAGGCACAACCCTTTTAACCGCGCTTCCCTAATTGTCGTCGAGCCTCCTGAGAATAGTCAGGATTCACGGACCCGTTGGGACCAGGAGCCAAAGCAGACAGGTTGGCTTTGAGATTTGAACCAGGAAATTTTTTGATGTTGTGAAGTAGGGAGTGATACAACAACCCTTTTGCATTTCCTTTGACCCTCAGAAATCATCATTCCACTGAAGGATCCGCCAGCAGGCGAGTGCGGTCAGACTTCAGGCGGCTCCATCACCTCAGAGAGCTCCTCTGCAGGTTTCAGGCCGGTGCCCAAGAAGAGGACGTTCCGCTCCAGACAGACCATCGGTCAGCCGGAGAGCAACGGGCAGCTGGGGTCGGACGCTCAGGTACGACCTGCAGTTATCGTTCCTGCTCCCAGACGGAGCCTCCAGCGGGGACCCAGCAGGAGCTCGGATCAGTTCTGCCTTAAGAGCAACGATGAAACAGACAGGCCTCAGAAAGGTGCTTCAACTCTGGTGGGTCAGTCTGCTCAGCCATCCAGAGCAGGAGGGGAAAAGCCTCCCCGGCCTACGTTTAACGCGCATCAGGAGTCCTCTAATTCAAGTGTGGAGAGAGAAAGACACCCTACCTCTGTACCAAAAGACAGGTCAGTATTTCCCTGATCTAGAATTCTGAACAGCTTTGTGGTTCAGAAGAAACTGAAAAAAAGTCAAATTGCGTTGAATTTCAGACCAGCTACCTGCGCCAGGACTGAGGTGTCTGCTGAGAGAGAAACCCCTCAGAGGAGCGAAGCTCAGGATGATCAGACCAAAAGAGAGGCGGCGCCGCTCAGCTTCGCCGGTCTGACCAGCAGCTGCATTCAGGACCGAGAGGTCAGCGGCAGTTTGGAGCCAGCAGGGAGGCGGGAGGACCCCAGTCTGCCCCAAAGCACTGTGGGTGGGTTTGCCTACATGACACTCAGTTACGCTTGTATTTGGCAACGGATTTCTTTCTTTCCGTTATTTATGTTGTGGTTTGAACATTTTTTCCTTTTGTTCAAACTTCATAGAAATATATTTCAAAGTCAAATCTAAAAAGTGCAAATGTCTGGAACAGATCTGAGTAACAAAAGTCTGCAAACTGGACAGGTCAAGCTGGGTTATACTTTTTTTTGCTTTCATTGTTCTGCAACAGGTAAAATCTAAACCTACAGCTTCAGACGGAAGCATCTAATGTGGCCTAGTTTCATACATCACTGAAATCAGACTGCAAGTCAAATTAGTGTTGTTGAATTAAGATGAAAATTTCCAATTTTCTAAACCGACTTCATGTCGCAAATGGCGTGACCGTCGGAAAGAGTCAGTAACCTCATTATGAAGTTAAATTTGAGTCATTTGCAGCTTTTTATCCAACAGTTTACTCAACACTGCAAAAATGTCAAACTTATTTATTGTCGGCTAATGTCTGATATAATTGTTTTTAGATATACTAGGCGCTTATAGACAACCATAAAGTATATCCTTTTACTTAGTTGGACTAAAGCAGTGAACTAAAAAACTCAGAGAAAGACTCTGCCATCCCTCTGGAGAGTTGGCTTTAGAGAGATAACTACACAGATGCTGCTTTATGTTGCTGTATATTGAATTAGTGTAGAGCTCTGTGAGCTGTTATTTTAATTTCTTTAAATAAAAGGCAATAAATGCAATTGAAGTCCTCTCTCTTATCACATCTTGTATTTCAGATTCTGATCCTCCTGTATCATATGACCTCAACTTCATTGACAAATCCGATCCTTATACCCAGAAATCAAATCAGAACCATGTGTTTAAATTAACCACTCAGACCACCAGCCCCAGTGGGGAGGAAGAGGAGTCCATCGCAAAGGTGCTGGACTGGTTCAACCGCAGCACAGACAGCAGCGACTGGCTGAACGCAGAGGACGGTCCAAAGGCCACAAAGAGCTCTGAAAGACAAGTTTCAACAGCAAGAAGGGCTTCTGGTGACAGACACATGAGTGACAGAGGCAAGGAAGCACTCGAAATGAAACGGAGTCACTTGTTAAGACTGACCAGCGGGGATAGAGAGCAAAGAGTGACTCACAGAAAGGGCAGCAGGGAGGTGACAGAAACACAGGAAGAGGCGAGGACAGACACCAGAGAGAGAATTCATTCACAAGAAGCGAAAGATAACGGCGATGAAAGCCAACCACTGAAAATCTCCCATCTCAAGTCCTTCTGGGAGAAAAGCAACACAGGACCTAAGATACTTATTGGCAAGTCAGTGATGGCCAGCGACAAAGGCCTGAACCCCGCTCACCTTTCTGCTGAGGAGCCGTCAGATATGGCCTCTTTACCTGGAACATACAGTGGGAAGGGCATACATGATAAATATACCCCAACCCCCGGTGATGAAATGGAACAGCAGCTGGTGAGCTGTTCCCAGACCAAAATAGGAAGCGGTGTTCACTTGAATAATCACCAGCGAGTAGAAAATTTGACGATTCATTCATCACAAAGGAACAATAAAGACCCGGCTTATTCCGAGTTGCTACCCGAACCCCAGAAAGCCGATAGAAGAGCTTCAGACGCCGAAAATTTGTGCGTGATGAGACTAAGCTCATCCGAAAGAAGCATCGAGTCAGAGTCCGGGACCGTCTCTGTGGTCAAACCAAAACTAGACAGCATTTCCCATTCCAGAGAAACAATGCTGCAAGACCGGGTATCAGAGAGTGTTATCATACCTCAGGTGGACGCAGACCTACAAACGAGAGTCACTGAAGACTATGAGAAGCTCACTCCGACCCAAAGCGGCCCATATGTGGACCTAAAGCAAAGTGGAAATGATGTGCAAATCCCCCCCAAAAGCAGAGAGTCGACCGAGGACATGAAGAGGAGGAACAGTGAGGACAAGAGCCTGCATGTTAGCATGTCTCCAAAAAGAAAGGAGGATGCGTCCAGTAAAGACAAGACCAGTAGTCCACACCTGAACAGGAAGACATTGCCTCATCAGGAGAGCACTGCAGAGAGGATAAAGCAGCTCAAGTCCTTCTGGGAACAGGAGCGTAACAAGCCCATGTTCTATACCGGCAAAGCTAAAGCTCCCGGAGAGGCTAAAGCCGCTCGCGGAGCTAGTCAAGCCAAACTGAATCGAAGATTTACAAAATCGGAGTTTGACCTGCGGTCAGTTGGAAATGGGTCAGGCAGCGATGAGGAAGGTAACAAAAGTCCCGGTAATTTCCCCCCCTTCAATCAGAGGCTGGAAAAGGTCTCCCTGAGTCTCGGCACAAGTCGCTTGCAGTTCAACACCCTGAGGGAGTTCTGGGACGAGGCAACATCTGACTCCAAGGGATCGTTAACCCTCGACAAACCCAAGAGCCCTAAAAGAAAAGAGCCCCAGAGTGCCCAGGTCTTCTCTCAGGAGGTCAAATCTACCGACCCAGAGAGTTACCGCTTGAATCCTACTGTGGAAAAAACAAAAGCGGCCGTCACGAAGTTATCTTCATCTCCTCAGAATCGATCGAAGTCGCCACACGACAGGCAGACGGGTTCTGGCTCAAGAGCGCTCGGCGACGTCAAAACCGTCCCGCCAGCTGAGTCCGGGCCACCGAGGCAGTCCAGGCGGAGCTCTAAAGACTCCACTCGAGAAGAGAAGCCCGCAAAGCCTCAGGGCAGTTTAGCCAAAGACACCCGGCCCCCCAGGAGCAGAAAGGACAGCTTTAGCACCTCCAGCAGTCGGGGGAACTCTTTGCGGCGTGCCACGAGCATGTTTGCCCTGAGCGCCGCCGAGGACAGGGACCCCAACTCGGTCCACTCCCAGACCAGGAAACACAAGCCGAACGCCGAGAAAGGCGCGTCTTCCAGGAGGTGTTCAGAGGACCACGAGATCGTGGCGCCGCGGGCGCGGGCGTTCGTCCCCACCGACTACCGCCACTACCTGGGGATGACCGACACCGCCGGCATCCACGCCGCGCTCGCCCCGGCGGCCAGGGAGGAGGGGTCAGAGGTCAAATCCGGGTACGAACCGGAACCAGGCGGGCCGGCGAGGACCAGCACGCCGGCCAGCTCCGACGAGCGCCACGTCAGGAAGAACAGCAAGATCAATCAGCGCCCACCGTGGTCCAACTACAGCGGGTCTGACACCGGCCAGGAGTCGTCCATCAGCAGCACGGCGGAAAGCCGCTCCAACTCCAGGACCAGTTCAAACCGTGAGCCTCATTTTCACTACAGATTCTCCCTAACCCTATAAAGCCAAATGTATCATATTTGATTCATACGGTTTCTGAAGTCTTTTGGATCTGAGACTTTTAGCATCATTCAGTGGTAAAAGCTTTGCTCAAACCCCTGTTGCACACATTCGGATATACCTGATAACAGCCAGTAGAAGACTACACCAAAATATATTTTCGACTTATTGCACGCTAATTTGATCAAAATGAGTTCAGTTTTTTTTTCTTCGTATTTTGTTGAGGGACCAAAGAAAGACTTCACACTAAAAAAATCCAATATTCTTCCTATTTTTCTTGGATCAGGCTTTAAAGGGCTAAAATGGAGTTTACACCACACAAGGGTTATTTATTTATGTGAACTTAAAGGAGAATTTATTTATCCTATCATATATAAATACAAGAATGAATGACTAAACGGGCCCAGATCATAGCTGCACAGCTGAATCTATTTTGAATACACTTCTGATAGATCTAACCTCTTCCTGAGACTGAGCCTGTTCAGTTCAGGTTTGCCCACAAACAGTCACTACTCGGGCTGTTTACTGTCACACGGGGCTGGATCCAGCCGTATCCTTGACACCGTGTCCGCGTTGGGTTATCCGTGTGTGTGCAGTGGCGGGTCTAGTGTAAACAGTGTGTGCGCCTGTGGTCAAATGCACATGTTTAGTTTGTGGGCTGAACAATGCCTCATTCAAAGTTTACTGATCCTACGTGGAGCTTAGAAGTTTCACAGTGGATGCTGGGCGATTTTTTGCTGAACAGTAAAATATAATCACTGTTTCAGATTGTGTATGGCTATTTGGTTATTACTCTAAAGATGCTGCGGGAACCATTTCAGACACATTAATGGAAAACCATCAGTGCTTTGATGATGCCTCATTGGGCATATTTGCATCATGTTAGGGCCATTTTTTAAAAGGATTATTAAGTTTCATAGAATGAAGTAACAGAGTCATTGCATTTGTATTAATCTCATTTATGAAATTGTTAGAATACCAGATCATTGTTTACTTTGAATAAACTTCCCGATCCTCAGGTAAACTTATAGTCTGGTTGGTATTTCTAGTTTCTGGACAAACAAACCCACTTAATCTGAGCCTTTCTTCCAATATGTAGGTGAAAATGATGACGATGACCAAAATCCTGTCAGGAAAGCACTGCGGCGGGCAGAAGTGCGGCCCAAAAATCTGGCCAAGAGCATGGAGGACATCACAGCATCCATACCACCTCGTGAGCATTTTCTCTAAAAATTAAGTGACTTTTAGAGATGTAAAGATTGTCTTGGGTGAATTTTTAAAGTTTTTTCTTTCTTCCTTTAGGTCAAGACAGAAGACCAGACCCTGCTGTTGATCTCAGACTTAGCAGTGATGGTAAAAACAGCCTGATTATTTTCTTGTGGCTATTTGGGAAATAGGTCCAACTTTGTATGTTTTACGTCTCAGTTAACGACTTTACAGTTTCAGCCATTACGTCGCCCTCTTCATCCCTATTTTCGGATCCGGACCACCTGAAGAAAATGAGCAAATCTGTTCCATCGTTCTTACAGAAGGAGGTAATCCTTCTGTCCTTCTGCATCCTTTTCCACAAAACCCGCTCTGTCTGCATCGGGGTGCACGTAGCTTTCTGCACCTGCTGTCTGTGTTTCAGGAGGCCGGCAGAGATACTTACTCCACCTGTGAGCACCATTATCAGCGAGCGAGACTAATGGCAGGCTCAGAGACTAACCTGAACAGCTCCCCCGATGTGACGTCTGTGTTGTCTGTATGTCCACCCGCCGCAGCATGGCCTAGGCCTAAGCCTAAACCTGAGCACACCGCTTTGCTTGTTGGCTTAAAGCTGACAGAGGCTCTGTCAAAAAATGAACTGCATCCCTGTGCTGCATCCCTCTGTTGTTTACGTGTCATCATCTATTTTGTCGAGTCAAATGTCCCTCACTCATAACAGGATGGAAATGAGTCAGTCATTGGTGGTTAACGGAAGGATCGAGATTCTTACTCAATAATTTCAAAACATGTTTCGCTATTTTTTTTTATTTTGGCTATTATGAGATTATGCTCTCATTCATGTGTGCCCCTCAGCTGAGTGGAAGTGTGATGACCATGTACAGTGCGGACATCGTGGAGGTTCAGGGAAACATCCAGTTCTCCATCAACTATGTTCAGAGGCTCCGAGAGTTCCACATCTTTGTGGCCGAGTGCCGAGACTTGGCTGCAGTCGACCCGAAAAGAGGCCGCTCGGATCCGTGAGTGATGTCCCTGTTCTTAAAATTTCATATGTGGAGTTTTCTCATTTTTTTTATCTACTTATCTTTAGCTTATTATACAGTAACTACAGAGTATCGGAGACCTGTGAGTCTCAGGGTAAAAACACGGTTCTGCCATCAGGGAAGTCAGTTAATACAGTGATGATCAGTATAAAAGTTTTGTTTAAAAGAAGCCAAAATAAACTCCAATGTCACAGACTTTTAATCATTTTAGTAACACCAAATTCAAGAAATTATTATTTTACTAATTGATTGTTCTATTTTTCTGTAGAAAAATGGAGATATGCTGCTCATTTGAGGCCATTATTGTCAGATTGAATAAGACTTATTAAGTATTATTAATAGATGGATTATTAGATAGAAAGTCAGCATGTTCTTGTAAAGTCACTGGTGGAATTTGAGCACAGAGGTATTCGGTCACCTGGACAAAATGGTCAATAGTAAATATTAGCTTTAGCACAGCTTTAAATCCGGTCATGCTGGGTTTTTCCTCTGTTCATTGCGTTCTGGATCCACTTTTCTTTTGCTGTTAAAGGTATGTTAAAAGTTACCTGGTTCCTGATAAGGCTAATCTCGGCAAGAGAAAAACATCTGTAAAAAAGAAGACGCTCAATCCAACTTTCAATGAGATCCTCAGAGTAAGAGCAGACACACACACACACAAAGCTTTTCCCACACTGTGAGACCTGCCTGGTGACAAACAAAAGCAGCTTCTCTGTCTCCTCAGTATCGCGTTCGCATGGAGTACCTCCGAACTCAGACGCTCATTCTCTCCGTTTGGCACCACGACACCTTTGGCAGGAACAGCTTCCTGGGTGAGGTGGATGTGGACCTCTCCAAGTGGGACTTCGACCACACCCAGATGAATTACTTAGCCCTGAAAGCGAGGGTAAAGACAAACACCACCGCACACAAAAGGCAGCTTTCACGGCACAACTCGTTCTGTCATCAAATAGCAGCTGTTGGTCTCTGCGAAGAGCCTGCTCATTTATTTCCTCCAGTCTTTTCAGGCTGCTTGTATCACATGATGAGATGTAAAGTCCTGTGTTGCAGACAATGCCTCTGATCGGTGCGCCGTCACATGGCCGAGGAGAAATCAGACTGGCCATTCGCTTCCTGCCACAGATCAGCCACAGTGAAGGTCTGTCCCGGGTTTTTGGCGACGTTTTTTTTTGGACAATCTGAGCTTTGAAAAACACGGCCTTTCAAAGGCACGTAATAGAAACGTTATAACAGCTGGAAGATATGATTTAAATTTGCAGACAGAATGTTCATTCAGCTCTGATTCGGCTTTATCCGGTGTGGGAAGTGGATGGAATGGGTCGGTTTGTTTTCTGTGCCAAATAGTTTGATCATGAAAACATGCCTTGATAAAGAACTCACCGGTTTAACTGCACATCACTGGAATTAAAATCGTCAGATGAAAAGCTGAATTGTGCTTTCTTCTAGAGTTATGCAAGTCAATTCTAATTCTCTCTATATATACATATATATATAGAAAAATAAGAAATAAACTATAAAAAACTAATAAAATAGAAGAAAAAATAGTATCAGGCCTTGAATTCCTATTCACATTGACATTCCTATTCAGAAATATTTGTAAGCAGAGAATTGAAGAATCTGTCACTTTGTGCTGTCATCTGATTTTTTCCTATTTGGAGATAGTCGCAGTTTGAGGAAGACAGCTGGAGGCAGACGTTACCCAGTAGCTACTTTAATGTTTCATCGATCAATTCACTTAAATTTGTTGTATTTCTCTGGGTGTTTTGATATATTTTATATCCTTAGCTTTTTTTATTTATTCATTCACTTAAATTTGTCAAACAATCCTTGACAAATTCCACAAATCAATCCCCATAAAGCTGGCAGATATTGTACAAATATGTTATCTGTCAACAAAAGATGACAATGTCAGTATTTGAATATAGAATAATGTGAAGAAACTTTTAGTTCCTTTGCTGGATTATCATTTGGTGTGTCCTTTTCCTGAAGGTGTAGCAAAAGATGCTTCCAGCACTGGAGAGATTCACATCTGGGTGAAGGACTGCAAGAACCTGCCTTTAATCAGGGCCACCATCGATCCTTACGTTAAATGGTACGTACACAAATAAATCTATTCAAGTAGAGAAGGAATTTTCATGTTACAGCACACAAATGACCTCATTTCTGTCTCCTTCCTCATTTCAAGCTTCGTGCTGCCGGACACGAGCAGGAAAAGCCGGCAGAAGACGCGTGTGCTGCGGCGAACGGCGGACCCGGTGTTCAACCACACCATGGTCTACGATGGCATCAGTGAAACCGATCTGGTGGAGGCCTGCGTGGAGCTGACCGTCTGGGACCGGGACAGGCTTGCGAGCACCCTACTGGGGGGCCTGAGGCTTGGAGCTGGGACTGGTATGAGTCTTAGAAACCTTGCTTTATGTCTTGAATAAGACGTTTCCACCCATAAGGTCCACTGAACTGAAAAATAGACCCCTTTCAACACATTTTTTGTTGATTTAAAACAAAAAAATCTATATTTCATTGATATATTGTATAGACATAGGAAACAAGGGGGTTGGGACTGTCAGTTGACAAATGCTCAGCCTATTCTCAGCCTTTTTTTTTCAATAGGTGGTGCATATTCATTGAAGTCAGTCAGTTGCTATATCTGCCATATTTCCCCAAATATAACTAAAAGCGCTGCTCATGTTTGGGTGTGTCTCTGTGCAGGCACAAGTTACGGAGCCCTGGTGGACTGGATGGACTCGGGTCCTTACGAGGTGGCGCTATGGGAGCGCATGATAGCATCCCAGAACGAATGGGTGGAGGACGTGCTGCCACTGAGAATGCTGAATTCTGCTAAAACTGCACTGAAGTAACTCCGAAACACAGCTATGGATCTATTTGAGTTTATTTCTGCAAGTCCGAACATGGCAAATTCTTTACTCTGAAGATCCACATGATGGTTCAAAACAACCAGAGGAGTGTTTTAGTTATATTATAAGCCTGTGTTGATATTCAGCATAGATAGAGTGAAACGTTGGAATCACAAAAAGGTGGCCGGTTGCAAACTAATTAAAACAGTGTCCCCTTTATATGATTCAGATTCACTGGGCACTGAACAAAGTCACAGACAAAGACAAAAAAATCTGTATAGTTGAAAAGATCTTACACGAGAGGTTAAGGAAAGAAAAAAACACCTTAAAGATTTGGTTATATAAGCTCTAAATCTCATCAAGGAAATCTTACTTTCACAATGCCAAAATATTCTGGGTAATTTTTTTCAAACTTCTGTTATTGCTGCAGATATCACCCTCTGAGCCTACTACCTGGCCTTAAAAGCACACAAGTTTAACTTAATTTGACTACAAACGGTTTCTTGGGCTGTCCTTTGAAACAGCAGAAATGTGTTCCTGTGATGTAACTGTGATTTAGACTTACAACAACATCAGTATTTCCACCATTTGCCTCTAATTTCTGTTAAGATGATTTGTCTCCTGTGGTCTCGGCTTGACTGCAAAATCCAGTTTTTGTATGCACACCAAAAAAATGAGGGCACTTTGCAAAGAAATCAAATAAGCTCAGTTTAACCAAATAAATATGAATTATTTCGATTTGATTTGATTTTATCCGGTTTGTGAGTATTTCTAAAATGCCATTTCATTCTTAGCGGTCTAACTCCAGAAAGAAAAGTACATTTAATCACCATTATGTGGTACAAAGTGTATCAGTTTGTATGTTATGTCATTTCACATTGTCATCATAGAAGCTTCTCAGATGAACATTTCTTTATCTACATTGAAAAAAATGGAAATGGCATGAAAGGAAAAACATTTGAATATGTCAGAAACGGTGGAATAAAAAAGTGATGCAAAATATCTTCACAACTTAGTAACTTTTAATATTTTCTCATCAAATCAAAAGAGTTATTAACATATGATTTTTTCTTTCTTTGATTGTTATTATTTCACTGCAGCATGCTAAGGAAAAGATGTTCAGATCTTCTGTGATACAGTTTGTATTTCAACATGTGTTGCATTTGAATTTTGTACAGACTGTCGTCTACAGTAAGCCCCAGGTATTTATTGTCATCTAGAGGCAGATAAGTGAAGTGCCTCTAAAATGTATTTCCCAGTGTTCTCAGGATGGTCATCTTTTCCCATTATGTGCACAACTGGTACCCACACTCCTACAGCACATTCCCAGATACATTTGTATATACTCCTTTCATACTGTAGGCTGCCCTTCATATTTAAATCTTGCTTTATGTTTAGAAATTTCAGCATGCTAGCACTTTGTTTCCTCTCTTTGTCTGACCGTTTGTTTCTCTTTGGACTCTGTGTCTGTTAACATGCATATGACAAATAAACCAAAACTGAAACGAACATTTAATTTGGAGCCACCTTCTTTCTTTGTGCTTATAATCAAATACCCACAGAACAAATATTACACTTTCGTCTGAGATATTTGACAAAAAAAGTAATTTAATGCTTTTCCACCGCACAGATAAAACTGACATTTGTCTATCTTTCAGAAGTAAAATATGCTGTTTGCTTGTGCGAATATTATACTGTATTTATTCATTTTTTTTGATTACCTGCAAAGAAAATGGCTTGTTTATATATGAAACAAAAAAGGTGTATAATTGTTCAGTACTGACTTATTTGCATAATTAAAACTGCTCACAACATGTCAGTCATCTGTTGTGTTGGCAGCAAAAATTTCTTGTAATAATAATAGTAAAAATACTACTAATAATAATTTAGCAACGCATAGGTCACCCAATCTGAAGAGTTTGTTGAAGCCTAAATGACAACCAAACTCCATCTGAGAGTAAATATTAAATATTTATATTATGATGTATGAATCATGAAAGCTTTTGGAAGCGTCTGAATGGTTAAAAATCAAATCTGAAAAACAAATGACACAGAAAACCTTTAGGTTTTCATGCAAATGTAGTCATAGTCATTTCATATTCAGTCAGTATTTTTTTTTCATCATTGGTTTATTTATACTAACAAAAAAAAAGCAATAATGCTGTTTAGGTCCACATCTACCACCAACATTACCAATATCAGTCAGTTATTTCTCATTTCACACAAACGCGTTTGTCCTCTGATTGGGTCTGGTCATTCTTTAACTGTCAAAACTAAATGCTTACAACATGTAAAAAAAAAGGACACTCCTCATCCTTCTCAGTTTAATATATCAGATAAAAAAACATTTCTATCTCAATCCTATCTGAAAGCTCAAGTTGCCACCAAATTAAATACCTCAATATGAGTGCAAAAATCTGTTTAAACCTAACATTTATTTATAATACCTGCACCAAGCTCTCTCCCCCACTTTACAACTATGCAATGTCTATTGATTGTGAAGCTGCTGATGGAGACCCATCTGTTGTGTGTTTGTGAGAAAGGAAACCTATAGGATATATAATTATGACACCATGATGCTTGTCCCTAATGTTTCTTGTGATTATCTCAGGAAATGTTGGCATGCATTGTAGATAACCGAGTTTTATGATAGTTGCTGTTTGGCGGAAGATTTTCTTTGTCTTATGTAGAACCCAAAGTAAACAGTCACAGCAGCAATGAAAATAGCAATGATGACAATGCAGATGATTATAGCCACCACTGGGCCACTGTAGGTGCTGTCAGATGACTCAGCAGCTGGAACAAGGATGGAGATAAGTGTTATGATTTCACGTAGTAATACATGCACTATACACCTTATTTTATCTCATGGTCTTTTCTACAGAATTAGCAAGCGCCAAATAACACCATAGAGATAAACTCTCATATAACATAAGTTCTCACCTTGAGAAGCTGAGAATGGTTGAACATCTATGGAAAAATTAAGACAACAAGATTATTAGCAATCAGAATTATTCAAATCAGTCTGGGAATCAGTCTGTTTTCATGAAATCCAATTTTGAAAGTACATTTATAACAAAGTTTTTAAGGTTCCTCATGTATTCTTTTTGTTGAATGAAGGTGAAGGCAAAATATGTCTCTCTCTGGAGTAAATCACTGGAAAGGAATACGAAGTATGTTCTGAATTATTCTCATTACTGTGAAAATACTCTTACATATTATGGTTTACTCTTGAGCTGATTCACACGCAGCTTCATAAATAAGATACTGAGATTAAATTTGATTAACCATTCAGAGTTTGAACCAGAAATAATGTGTCAGTATACCACACACACAATCACACACCAACAATTTCCCCTTTCAAAATGACAATGAGTTGAAATGACTAGACTAGTCAAGAATTGAAATCTTGACTTACTGTGTGGGATGAATGCATGTCAGTGTGTGCTGTTTTTATAATTTTTTAAATTTAGTTCATTTTTACGCACCGGCACTCTTTTTGCCCACAATTATGGGCGGAGAGGTGATTGTAGTGTTAGTCGGCACGTCCTCGGCTTCCCTTCTTCTCCTGCTTTGACTACCGGTACAGTCCTGTTGGCAAGTAGTAAAGACAAAACAGTCCAACCCTAACATGTGCAAAAAGCTGTAACGGTACCGGTGAAAAGCCCTCTCTCACTCACCGGCAGGAGCGAGCTGCACGTGGATGCCTCACAGAGTCTGGTGGCACAATGCAGGAAGAAGGTAGACACGGTCAGATTCTTGTGCTCCACAAATCGGAAGGCCTCGAAAGAAAAGTGGGCATTCTGTGAGACTCCATTGTGCTCCACCACTGTCTGCGCATCGCGTTCACACCTGGGGCACAACAGCACACAGTTGCTTTGTCAAAGCGGAGGGAGAACAAATGGCTCACTTGGAGTCAAGTGTTCTTCAGTGAAAGGTGTTCTTTGTTGTGGCGACATTCATACGACTCACCCCACGAAAAGGTCATAATAGGTGGTCAGCATAGGATACGGACTGGTTGTGGCGTAGCATCTGTCCAGCATCAAGTTGAACCTTTGAAAATGAACAGAGCCGTTAAAAGACTTTTCTGTTGATATTACTGTTTCAAACTGCTCGTGTTTGGATACCTGTCCGTTAAATTGGTAGCTTTGACTGCAACATAAATCTTGGTTTTAAGGTTGAGGCCGGTGTTTGGAATAGTTAGTACATTTAGGTATTCTGCATCCTGTTAATTGGAAAAGAAAATTAAGCAGTTGATAAGGTAAGATTTATATATACTATATATATTATACACATATACATTTCTTTTGTTTTTTAAATGAGGTCTTACTTGGTAGAGCTGCATACTTAAGGTGCTTATAAAGCTACCATTGTTGTCTCTTATGGCAACATTTACCCCAGATCTGTAGTGAAAGACAAAAAAAGGTCAAGGTACCTGTCCTCACATTTTCATAAATCAACAACTGTTTTTTTGTTTTTTTTGTTTTGTACTTTGTGTCATGTGGCATACTCACACGCCGAGTTGAGTGTTGTTTAACAGGTACTGCATTGGGTAATTGCAGGAGAATTTGTACAAGATCTGTGGGCGATATGTGATCATACCCGCAGAGGGGTCTATAGAGGTAATAATTCCAGAGATGTTTACAAACTGAACATTTGAGAAGTCAGCAAACTCCCCACTTCCAACCTGTGTGGATATCTGTTAGAGAAATATGAATAAAAAATTCAAGCAGAAATGTAAAGTTACATATATCGAAAATACTAGTCTTTGACGTTCTATTGATCAGAATATGTGAAAAAAAAGCTAACTTGATCTATGTTACATAAAATACATGACTGTTGTCAAACAGCCACAGTTATGTCACAGTGAGAACATTTGATAAACCTGGAAAAATACCTTATAGATGTTGCCACAGAACGAGAGGGACGTCTCATTTATGGGAAATCTGAATTTTAAAACAGGTGGAGTAACAGTCCAGTCAGCTTTCCCAAAGCACTCAGGTTTGTTGAGCTGATTATTAAGGACCATCAGAGTTTCGTTGTAAAGAGCTTGGTACACCGGACAAATGTAGATTGCCAGGTCCACATACTCTGTGCCACAGTCCACAAGTATGTCAGAATTTTCTGGAGGGGTAAAAAGAGAGGGTCTAGCCTAAGTACTGGTTTCAGTCAAACTAGCTGATGAAGATCAGTGAAAAGCTAACAAACCTGGAGCTCTGTTTGTCTCACTGGTTACACACTCTTCTGGTACCTGGGCATCCGCCTGAAAAATCAGGCCAAGCTGACACACAAGAATTAACAGCCTCATTGTTCCCGGTGTGGACCTTTGAGACCAAAAAAAATAATAATTGGCATCAACTCATGTCCAGATTTTTTTTCATGGGGAAGGCTTTGAAAGAAAAGTGTTAAAAAGAGCAGCCACATTTTTGCAACAAAGACCACAGATCAACTTTCCAGGCGCAAAGCAAAAGGCTTGTTAAGATATTAGAGTTACATGAACCTATTATGTAACAAAAAAGCAGTGGATAAAAAGAATAAACAACATTAAATTACTGTTGTCTTCAAATTTAGTCATATAAAACCCATTCAAAATTGTGCGCTCCAAGAATATTTATGACACTTTGTCTAATGTTATTTCCATTTTGTTCTGAATTGCTAATATAACATAACTTAAGATGAATTTTTCTGATATGAGAAGTTCTAACAGACACTTCACCTTACAATTAATAAAACCAACCTAAAGTATTGAGCTAATAATTAGATTTTTTTAGGACTCACCTGTGCATCCTCACGTTGTGTTGTGCTCTCAGACGCCACATCTGCCCATTTATACCTCTGTCCCCACAGGGCGTGGGACCTTAACACAATGCTGTAACATGAACCAGGTGTTAGGTGCCATTTTTGATTTGAAAGCAAAGTTCTATTAAGAAAAAAACTACACCTGATGATTTTCTTTTCATGGAAAAGCACAGTAAGGACAATTTTGGGAACTAAGCTGCCTTTTAAGCTTCAGTTTATTTTATGTTGGTGCTGAAGGGCCTAATAAGGGCTCATTCGGTCTTATCATTATGCATCTGTGATATGATGTTAGTAATCACAGTTAGGGTTTTTCTTTTTTTTTACTAAATGAGGACAGGAGGAACCTGCATCAGGAGAGCTGAAATCAGGCCGTAGGAAACGGCGGAGCTATTGCTGACATCCAGAGGTCAAGTTAGAGATAGCAAGCCTCTCAGCCCTCAGTCCATCCACACATTGCATCTGTATTTGTAGTTTTAGTTAGTTGTTGAAGAATATCCAAACAACTCTGATGTGAGTATGAGGCCCCGTTCTGTAACTCAGGAGGAACAACAGTCGCCCACCAATCAGAAGGCTGGCCCCTAAGACTTGTTCCTTAAAAGAAATCTAAGGGTCGTCAGAGGGATCAAAATAGATTTGCTCTACATTGAAGGTGGTGCAGAGAGAATTAACTGTTTATCTTCATGGTTTCTAATAAAAACATACCAGTCCATTAATAAAAGATAGTTTGATACCAAAATCCCAAAAAAGTCACAGTGTGTTTGGTATAGCTTTTATGCTCTCCTACTATCGTTCCCTGAGACCTTTGCTAAGATATCTGAAATTATTTGAGATAAACATGAGACAAAGTTATGAAATTTTAAAACTAGTAATCTGTGTCAAACCTCCATGCTTTATTTTAATCCTTTGATTAAACAATCGCTTGTTTTAATATTCATGAAAGAGCTCTTTGATGCAGCATTGTTTTAAATATTCTCTATAAAAATACACACATGCATGAGAGATTGTTGATCTACTTTGTATAATTGCTGACACACAATTGCTGCCTTACTGGGTGTCAAAACTGGTTACTTTCTTGTGTATGAAAAGAGCATTATGTAGGGAGCCATAATGTATACACACAAACAATCGGTGCTTTTCACTGATCTGTGAGAGACTGGGATCACCGATCTGATCTGAAGTGTCTCCCTTTCAGATCGTTTGCTGTGATAAAGGTCTCAGGATAATTTTTTGTCATCACCCTGACCATAAAGCTTAAATAGGAAGTGTTAAGAACTGTTCTTTTGCACTCGGTGAACAAAAGCCACACCTATCTGAGAGAAATCCAAAAACTCTTGTGGAACAGCATGACACGAAGAGGGACTTCTGAGTCCCAATGGAAGATCATCACAATACAAAAAGAGGATACAGCTTGAATGAGGTCCCCGATAGACTTACTTTAGGCATATCTAATGTCAAATGCCAGTTTTAATCTCTCCATTGTTGTAAACAAACAGCATTTGTTTGCTAGGAGTGTCACCAGTGTTACTTAGGGCACAATTTTTCCAAACTTGGACCCATAAGCAGTTAATTGAATGACCCTGGGGAAGAAATGTGACTAAAGAGTGCAGACCTATGTCAGATTTGGTCACGACCTGCACAGAATTGGGTCAAGACCTGTTTAGTACATGCACGTCTTCTGTAAGTCCCTTAAAGATAAACAAATCTGATGACTCAGTTTGAATGATGACCTGAAGTTGATTTGTACCTGAAAATTGCGCCACATAGACATTCAACATCTTATGTTTGCATTATAAGAGATCCAGAGACTAAACTGAGGTGTTTTGCTGACACTCTTTTCGAAGGAAAACCAAGAACATCCATTGTGAGCTTTGGGATGACAAATTCGAGACCCGCCTTATCACTGATATGTTGGTGTCACTGTCTGCATATACAAGTATGTAGGCCAAAAACATTGCAGCACAACATTGGAGCAGCTTGGGGTTATATTTGTTATGGTACAACATCGAATTTGAGTCATAATCTCACATTTTTATTGATGATAAAAAAAACATGTTTCAGGTAATGTTCTTGTCTTTGTTGACCATCTTAAAATACAAGCTACTTAATTTGAACTTTCCACCAATGAACAGAATTATCAGTTAAATAGTGATTGATTTTGATACCCCCATCCCCCATCCCGAAAAGATTTATCCCAGATTAAGGCCTGGTTAAATTTGGCTATGAACTAGCATTGAATATGAGGAGTTGGCTCTGGAATTTCATTTCAAGAAATGATACCCACTCGTATGATATCCATTTCTTGGTTCATTTCTTGATCATGACACACAAAACACTACACCAAGTCCAAGAATGAGGATGCAACCTGGGATGTTTGTGTTAGAATCAGATCCAAAATAATTCACTTTTACGTAGATGTACCTGTAAAAACTAGGGAATAACAAAGGTAGGATTCGGCTGTTTTGATGTATCTTTACAAAACTCTGTTTACAGTTTTTCCTTTGTAACTGTGGATCCTTTACATTTTGTAAACATTACATGTGTCTCATGTGTCTATAAATGTGACACCATAAAAACACGGAGAACAGTGGTGTTCCTCTCTGGGGGCAGTTGAGGTCCCAGCATGTGACATAGAAACCAACTTAGTGAACTTTTAACAAAGATCTTCTTGGGAATATAAGAGGGAAAAGTTTATTGTCATACAATGATGTAACAAAACTATATCAAACAAAAATTGTCGTTTAAGAGTGACTCAGAAATTATTACTGCTTGATCTGTAGAAGCTTGATCGGTTATATGTGTGCCACGTATCATTATCAAAGTGACTCTGCCAAAGTATGCTGTTTTTTCGCTGTCTCCTTTGGGATAAATCTACAGAACATGTCTTTTGTACCTGTCCAGAACATATCTTTTTCTTTCTTTTCATTCACTTACACCTGTATAGGGTCAAATAAGGTGTGAAGTATTGAATTGTTTAGTCTTACAATAGCAGAACAAAAAAGTTTTGGCTGTAACTAGACCATGCAGTAGTATGAGTCATATCTGAAAATTCACCTGAGCAGGGCCCAAATCACATCATGTTGTTACAGTCACATAAAAAATAAAACAGAATAAAGGTAAAATCATGTCACAGTAACTGCATTGTACAGCTAAAACAACATAAGTTTAAGGATTTTCATTCACTTTCTCTTTGTTTTTGCTTACTTTGATTAGTAGCAGACACCAACAGACATAAAATATCACACACACGCACTTACACACACACTCTCACATATTGTGTGTGTGTACGTGTATGTGTATGTCTGTATACCTGTATACATGTATGTAGGCTATATATATACAAACACACACCGTGATATTTGATGTGTTATTGTGTTTCAGATGTAAATAAAGTGTAAAGCCAGCAGGGGAGAATGTGTTTCTTCGAACCGGAGTAAAGCAGCTGCTGTTCCGTACCTCTCATCCTCCAGACATTGCTAGAAACTCCACGAAGACACTTCAAATGTGCTAGTAGCAACTGCTTTGGAAATACGCAGCAAAAACTTCTTATTGGACCGCTTGTGGAGGCAGAAACAAATAATGGCAGAGGATTGGTCCGAATCGGTCCTCCCGTGTTCTAGACGGTTCTGGGTGGGTATGTTTGGCCCGAGGCTCGGCCGCTTCTGCACACGCGGAGTGCGCGAGCGACAAGCGCAGATAAGGACCCTGCACGCGCCTAGCCAGCGAGGGGCAAGCCAGTGTACGGTACCAGTGGCAGCCGCTGTAAACCGAGAGGACGACAGGTAGTAAACACAAGGAGGTGAGTTCAAGGGACAGGCTTGTTGGGTACCGTGTTTGTGATTGAAGAAGTGTACGTGAACGTCACTTTAACGCGGGTTAAACGTCTCCAAGCGTCCAGTAACGCCAATTAACGACTGTTTGTTTGTTAACGTAAAGAATAAAGTGGGACTTTCCAGTTTTGACTCTCTGAATTTATAAACTGCTCCACACAAACTGTCGTAACTTTGTGCACGGGGCTCAAAAGAACAGCCTGGAAGTCTCCGGTAAATGTTGTGTTAAAGAAGATGTGCAGGGCCCTCCTGGACGTTTCTCTTCCACGAAGGGCGTGACGAGATATGAAAGGTCCAGAAAGTTCTGCGTGGTGACACACCCTCATTACTGTAATGATGCAGCACAAATGTGCTCTTTAGGCCGCTTTATCACAAGATCACTGAATCACAAGTATTGTTGCTTCTCCATCCCGAATAACATTAAATGTGTATAATCATGACTCCTTATGGAGCTAAGCATCATTAATAGATGGGAATGTCTTTTTAGAAATGTGTTGACTGAGGTGAGAATACCTGTGCTTGGCAAAAAGCTCCTATTTTGGGATTATTTAATGCGTAGTATTTGATTAAAATAGCCAGTCATAGCTTCATTCTCTGACACAATTAAATTTTAGACAGTCCTTTGAGAATGGGGAAATGGAAGATTATTGATCTTATGGTGACCACAAAATTGAAAGAAAACACCAGATATCTTCCATCTTGTTGGACCTGTTGTTTATCATGGATCCATTATTCATGTGTTTTGAAAAGTTTTTCAAAGCGAGTTTGAACATTTTCTACACAGATTAATTTTGTTAATGTAAACTAATATTTGAATAGGATAAGGCTGAATATCACTGTGGGGTCTGAGACCCCTCATCCTAGAATAAGAGCTGTCACAAAGGGATGAGTGACAGTGACCTCACCCCCTCTTCCATGTGGGTTTATTATTAGGCTGATATTACAGTGTATTGGTGATATGCTGTTGTAGCAACAGTAAACATTGGGGAGCTTCTTAGAAGTCACATCTGACAGGGTCTTTTCTTCACAACAAATAAGAATAATGACTCAAAAGGGCCGCATGCGGTTGTTGTTCAGCAGTTAGAAATGCAGAGCCTGGAAGCAGGTGCTGTGGACTTTCCGCCCCCGCTGACAAGTCTTTTTGACACTTCTGTTTGAGCAGTTCAGGTTCTGCTAATAGCTTTATTACTCCATACTTCAGATGTGCAACATGGGAGCTGCCACAAAACTAAATTTAGTTATCTGTCACATATGTTGGGGGCTTGTCACACAATGGCATTCAGTGTTTTTGTTTGTTATTTTTCCCCCCTCAGGAGCCATGTCGAAGGGACCAGCAGTTGGCATAGACCTGGGAACCACCTACTCCTGTGTGGGAGTGTTTCAGCACGGCAAAGTGGAGATCATTGCCAATGACCAGGGGAACCGGACCACGCCGAGCTACGTCGCCTTCACAGACACTGAGAGGTTGATTGGGGATGCAGCCAAGAATCAGGTGGCCCTGAACCCCAATAACACCGTGTTTGGTACGTTTTTTGTCTTTTTTTACTAGGAAATCGCGCGTGATCGGTGAGCTTTGTTCCCTCTCATTGATGGCATATTCCACTTCCCCTCAGATGCCAAACGACTTATTGGACGCCGTTTCGATGACAGCGTTGTCCAGTCAGACATGAAACACTGGCCGTTCACAGTTATTGATGATGCATCGCGCCCTAAAGTCAAGGTGGAGTACAAGGGGGAGACCAAAACCTTCTACCCAGAGGAGATCTCCTCCATGGTGCTGCTTAAAATGAAGGAGATCGCTGAGGCTTACCTCGGCAAGGTACTCCCACGCAGATACATAAAGACAGCCTAGTTGCTCTCTGTTATTTCTAAGGGAGAAAAGCTAGATAATTTCTTATAAAAATGTGAATTGTCCTTTTCCTGTGGCTGTCCACAGACTGTAGCCAATGCGGTTGTGACCGTTCCCGCCTACTTCAATGACTCCCAGCGCCAGGCGACCAAAGATGCCGGGACTATTTCTGGACTCAACGTCCTGCGTATCATTAACGAGCCCACTGCCGCCGCCATCGCTTACGGCCTGGACAAAAAGGTGAAGTCCCTCTGGGCCCCCTGAACCAAAGCACACTCACAGTTTCGCAGCACGATGTGTTTTAACGAAGCCACGTCCGGTTTTAGGTGGGAACCGAGCGAAACGTCCTCATCTTTGACCTCGGCGGCGGCACGTTCGACGTCTCCATCTTGACCATCGAAGACGGCATCTTCGAGGTGAAGTCCACGGCCGGCGACACACACCTGGGCGGCGAGGACTTCGACAACCGCATGGTCAACCACTTTATCTCCGAGTTCAAGCGCAAGTACAAGAAAGACATCAGCGGCAACAAGAGAGCCGTGCGGCGCCTGCGCACGGCCTGCGAGAGGGCCAAGCGCACGCTGTCCTCCAGCACTCAGGCCAGCATCGAGATCGACTCCCTGTACGAGGGCGTTGATTTCTACACCTCCATCACCAGAGCTCGGTTCGAGGAGCTGAACGCGGACCTGTTCCGAGGAACCCTCGAGCCCGTGGAGAAGGCTCTCCGCGATGCAAAGATGGACAAAGCCCAGATCCATGACATCGTGCTGGTGGGAGGCTCCACTCGCATCCCCAAGATCCAGAAGCTGCTGCAGGACCTCTTCAACGGGAAGGACCTCAACAAGAGCATTAACCCCGACGAGGCAGTGGCCTACGGGGCAGGTAGGAGCCGCGTGGTCCCCGAAACGGTCCCTCCGCACCCCGCCCCGCTGACGCCTCCCTCTGAGGCTGATGTCCGTCTGTTTGTGCGGCAGCTGTGCAGGCGGCCATACTCTGTGGGGACAAATCTGAGAATGTGCAGGACCTGCTGCTGCTGGACGTCACCCCGCTGTCTCTGGGCATCGAGACGGCCGGTGGAGTCATGACGGTGCTCATCAAGAGGAACACAACTATCCCAACAAAGCAGACGCAGACCTTCACCACCTACTCAGACAACCAGCCCGGGGTGCTGATCCAGGTGAGACCAACCCCCCCCCAAAAAAAAGAAAAGAAAGAAGGCTTGAAATAGGATTTTAGGTGAGTCGGCCTCATTTCTCACATTTGTAGGTGTTTGAAGGCGAAAGGGCCATGACCAAAGACAACAACCGTTTGGGGAAGTTTGACCTGACCGGTATTCCTCCGGCCCCTCGAGGGGTTCCTCAGATTGAGGTGACCTTTGACATCGATGCAAATGGTATCATGAATGTGTCGGCAGTGGACAAGAGCACCGGGAAAGAGAAGAAGATCACCATCACCAACGACAAAGGTAGCCGGAAAAGCTTACAGTCGGAAGGCCCAGCGGCCCTTTGGCTGAGCCTCTTTTTAACCGAATTCCTTCTTTGGTGCGCAGGTCGCTTAAGCAAGGAGGACATTGAGCGTATGGTTCAGGAGGCGGAGCAGTACAAAGCGGAGGATGACGTGCAGAGAGAGAAGGTGTCGGCCAAGAACGCTCTGGAGTCGTATGCCTTTAACATGAAGTCCACAGTGGAGGACGACAAGCTGAAGGACAAGATCAGCGAGGAGGACAAAAAGAAGATTCTGGACAAGTGTAATGAAATCATTAGCTGGTTGGATAGAAATCAGGTAGGATTTCATTTTACAAGCATTGTCTCTTGACTCCATCTGAGGTGGTGATTGACTTCCCCTGATGTGTTTCTTTCCCCTCAGACTGCAGAGAAAGAAGAGTTTGAGCATCAGCAGAAAGAGCTGGAGAAGGTGTGTAACCCCGTCATGACCAAGCTGTACCAAAGTGCTGGGGGGCCACCGGGGGGCATGCCTGGCGGTTTCCCGGGAGCTGGTGGTGCCGCCGGGGCAGGAGGGCCTTCCTCCGGCCCCACCATTGAGGAGGTCGACTGAGCTCCACAGGCCTTACAAACCTGCATGACCATATTCCCTGAGGTTGGTGTGGAGGGTTGGGCACCCTCATATCGCCTAAAAATGCCACAAACCATTCACTACAGTTCCATTTGGGATTGTCTGCCAATGTTTTCCATGCCTGGCACCACTTGCACTGTTGTTTTTTCTTAGTAAGCAGTTTTACTTTGCATTCCTGTTCCTTTTAATTACTTTTTTATGTTCGCATTGCCAGAGAGTGTTCCTTATGAAGCCGAAATGGTTTAGAATGCACAGCGCTTTGTAAAATAAGCCAAAATAAAATATGTTACAAAAGACTTTGGAATAATTTGTTTAATACATATTTGATCACTATAATCAATATTATATCACCATTTATGTCATGTTGTCTGTGCTGTCTGCGAGCGTCACTGATTCACAGTATAGAGGTTTCAGTGGTAGAACGGCTCTGCATCCCCCTTAGTTTTAAGTGTTACTTTTCCACACCTCTGCCTCAACAAACTCGAACTGTGTCCAGTCACCTGCTGATGCTCCAGTAATAAACAATTTGAGTGCTCATTTTTGATACAAGAGAGAGAATTAAGAAATCTACATGGTTTGCAATTACGTTTTCTCACTTTTATTTAGAATACATCTGAATGTTTAGGTAGACAGGAGTTTTTAATGTGGGTTTATTCTCCTCTTGGCCATGTGTCGTGGTCCAGTGCTGGTACACATGCGTTCGGCAGGTTAGCGGGAGTTGGAGTTCCTGGGGCATTCGTGCATCCGGTAGGCACACATGTAGAAGATTCCTTTAAGAAGAGATGAGAGATTGACATAAGAACCTGGATTTGCAGACTGAACACTTAAATTCTGACGGTAAGATACATACCTGAGAAGAATGTGAGCACCACTGCCACCCAGCCCATTATATAGGACCAGGAGAATCGCCAGCTGCCATAGCGTTTCCCATAGTAGTTCACTGTTACCCCGGTGTACACGGCCATCGCCAGCAGCACAAAGAAGCCTGTGCCAGAGGAAGTCAAAAGAGATCGTTAATGAGGCCGTGGTGATAAAAATCAGCCCGTGGCGGTGAAAGGCAAACCCACAGGAGATGAAGAACAGGATGCCGGCCGCAAACGTCTTGTCGAACCAATCGAAAGAGGAATAGTGGATGAAGGCCATGACTCCGATCACAATGCCAAAGAAGCAGGCCAGCAGGGAGAGGATCATGAAGGCCCGTGTGGCATCCCAGTACGCTGGATGAGAGGAGAGAGACCCAACAACTCCAGTAGACATCCTCTCACACACACAGTTTCTCATAAATAGTCAATGTTTGCTTCATTTTCAGTGCTTGACCTGTTTCAGGACAAAAAAATTCTAGCCGTCAACTTCTGGATCACATTTAAGAAATGAGCCTCTAGAGAATTCTTTTCTGCCTAACATTCCTGTATCATATTGGCCGTGTTCTCAGTGTCAACCATGAGCAGGAACTAACCCCGCTGTTGCCGGGAGTCACGGCCCGACGGTCAGCAAACCGATAAATATTAACGAAGGGGCTTGTCTCACCAATGCTGTCTGTGTGGGTCATGCATTTCCCGGGCAAACAGTAGCGCCACAGGCCCTGGTGCATGTAATTGCTGGAGTGTCGATACTGCATCCAGTAGTCTGTCGCCGTGGAGAGAATCAGGAGTATGTTCCCCACTCCGGCGCAGAACAACCCACCTCCCATGAAGCTGTACATCCTGCCAAAAAAAATACAGAGACTGATTTAGAAAGAGAGAGAGAGAGCGGAGCGGGTCACGGCCTCTCCACATCTGGCTGCCTCTGCACCACCGGCTACAGCGATTACCCCTCCCGTGACAGAGGGAGGGCAGCACTGGACATGAATAAAACAATGTGGAGATGTAAGCTGGAAATGGCAAATATGTCAGAGCTCGACAGGTCTGATTAGAGAAACCTCCCTTCTTCGACAACCGCCTCTTAATTCTGGCTGCACTGTCAGCCCGCAGTGGCTCTGTCCTTTCTAAGGTTTCCATCACATTTAAAATCTGCCAAAATAATTGATGGCATTCAGACTGAGGGGCTTTATTTTCAGGAGCACCGAACACGGCATAGCAAAGAGGGTTAGCTCTGGAATATTCCAGTTGAAATGAAACAGGATATCTTGTTTGAATAGTTTATGTTAAGTTATTTTATGTTCCACCCTTGTTTTTCAGGGTGAAAATCCCAATTCAAAAAGACTAGCGCCCAGTGAATCCCAAAATGAATGTTACACGCATTAAAAATGCTTAATATTCAACAGGTATCAACATGACATTCCACACAACAAACTTTCATACCAATGACCTACCTTTATGGTTTTTTTCTTTCAGAGAAAATCAGAGAATCCAATAATCTGGGTAGTCAAAGCGCAGAGGAGCCCAATATTGCGCAGGATGGCAGGAAAGTTTTGTTTGTGCATAGGAAACCAAGCGAACAAACGGGCTGATGGAACAATGGGGCCTGCTGAGCCACAACCAATCACAGGGGATGAGTTTTGTGTTTTGGGGAATCTGCTGAAAATACAAAACTGTTAAAGCGCCGCTCACCTCTCAGTGAGACTGATGACGCTGAGCTTTTCATTCAGAATGCAACACAACCTCACACATTAGACTCACTGCCCACAGCAGCCTTATCCATAAAGCTGCTGTTAAAGAGTGGAAAAGGTCCAAAGTTTTTGAGTCGTTGGTACATTTATCTGTGTGAAACATTCCCAATGAGTATCAGATCATGTCTGCCTTTAAACAAGCTTCTCTGCCCCAGTCAGTGTCGAGATAATTAGAATTGAAATTGTGCAATTTACATAAAATCAATCCACTGTTTCTTCTTTCAGACATGTGGCATTATTGATTAAGATATTGCAGAAATTACACTCACTGCACTGCCTCTTTAATGTCTTTTGACAAACGGAAAGACAAATTGCACATTCTTCCATTTATTATGCATTAAGTCTCATATTTTCAAGTCCCTGTCCCTTAATTGGCACTCACTCATCCCAGAGGAATTCATTTAATTACAGACAGGAAATTGCTCAGACATTTCTAAAAGAAAACCACATATATAATTAAGAAATTAAATGTAGCCAAACAGAATACATTCTGTGGCCCGCGTACGTTTGATTAAGTTGGTAGAGCAGAGTGAAATGAGAAAGGCTAATAAAGCTGTGGGTTTCCAGAGTTTGGGCAGAAAAGGTGCAATAAAAGTGAATCATCTCCACTGTAGCACCTGGCGAAATGAGTGCTGAAAGGAATTGTTCTGGGCAAAAAAGAACTTTTTTATTTTCTTGTTCTATGGTGTTTCTTATTGTTAAGCAACAGATATATAGAGTTGTTTTAATCAGGGACAGGGACAGGGACACATTCATGAAAAGAAGACCATCAGCAAAAGGTCTGTGTTTGCTAATCTAAAGGAGTTGTGATTAGAAATTACAGGCACGTGTTGAGGTTTTAGAAAAGGTTAATGTGACCTACGAGGGTAAAAACTTTAGGTTCTGCCAGAGACTGAACATGACTTGCAAGGAAATATATGCATACCTATCTACTTAATCATCTATTATTAAATTATTACCACCCTAAATCCATGGCCTTTGAAATTGTAGGCTCACTCAGTTGCCATTCCACGATACAACCACTAAGTGGCGCCTTTCATTTATTCTTCACACATGCTGGACTCATACTCTGTGTGTGTTTTCCTTTTAGCAAGAATCAGTTGAATTCAATTTGTTATAACATATCGATTCATTACGCTTTGCACAAGAATCAACCCTTCTTTAAGCCATCCATAGACATGCTCCATTGTTTTCAGTTTTTGTTATTTTCATTAAAAACAAACTTAAAAAAGCCATATTGATGTTCATTTCTATCTTTGGTCAGTGCATTTTACACTTGATAAACCTCTCTCGCCCTATCTAATTTAGGGTGCTTTTGGTGAATGTTAATGACTTCTGTGGGCTGGATGAAGAGCTACATTTTAAACCAAAGCCAAAAATAGGTATCACCAATGGTTACTTGATGATGTTTGAAATTCAGCATACTGGGTGTGAAATAAAAAAAAACTTTAGAATGCTTTAATTGTGAATCACCTTATAACTCAGTGTAACATAACATAAGACATAAGTAAGAAAGTGTTTTTATTTTCAGTCTTAACATACCTTAACAGTCAGCGTCGAACCAGTTTATACTTTATAGTGTAGACTACACCAAGGAGATTTAAGTGTAGAAGAAGGTCATAAAATGTGTTTGAGGCTCTCTGAATGCAAATGTTGACCCAGTGTTGTCTAGTTTTAGATTTGTGAAGTGACCTCAATAGCAAAACTGCAGCTGGCTGTGCTTAGCTGTGGGAAGAATAAGTGGACCACAGAAACCCCTAATCCATACGACAGGCCTGAGAGCAGAGAAATGTAGAACCCCTTCCAAATAGTACAGCCCATTCAAAATGCGTTGGATTACCATGATCTCTATAGCCTGGCACAACCCAGCGGGTATTTGTTGATGGCAGTGAAAGTCAGGCTCACTTTACTGTTGCACTCCAGCTGATAAGATGTGCACACACAGGGCTCATGCAGCAGCACCGACACCAAGAAAAAGCCTTTCATATGCCAACGCTGTCACATCTCAGGAGTTGTACAGTGAGCTGATGGCTTCCCCCCCCTCTCATTAGGCCACATTCAAAACCCACCTGACAGAGCTGCAATGTGAGGAAGGCATCACATCACACACAGTATCTTGATTTAGACAAGGCATTTTACCAGCAATACGATACAACAAACTCAGTTTATTCAGACCACAAGGTCATTAAGCACTGGTGGGAAAATATGAGCTCACCCTTACATCTATTTCATAAGTTTGTCATCTTGTCACACAGAAATGCAGTTACTTACCTTTTCCTGGCAATTAAACATAAAACCTTTTATTTGGAAAAATTCACGAAAACTCAAGACAGTCCCTAAATCCAACATTACATTATATCAAATGATGCTTTTTGATTCAGTATCATCTGTTACAATTCAACATAAACGGTGAAATTTACTTTCCCGAGGCCAGCTGTGTCTAACAAATTAAAATATCTAATATACAACTACATAATTTTAACCCAGAATTTACCTTCCCATCTACACATAGTCAATTTATCCACAAATTAAAGAAAAAAGTAACAATTATCTCTGTAATGGATCAGAACAAGCGGAAAACAACCCATTATCTTCTTTTCACACCTTGGAATATCTATAATACTAAATTACCTTTTTTCTTTTTCTCCTAAATTTCCATAGATCAGTGCCTCCTCTTTCTGCACCACTGGACTCCTAAATGTGTGTTCATCTTTTAATGAGATTTATGCCCAGCAACATGACTGTTAAATCTTCGCATTATGTTCACAGTCTGATCACAATCGTGTTTATGTTTTTAGTCACCTGAGGAAGAGCTGCTCAGCTGCTTTTCCATATAAATCACAATTATATAAGCATTACCGTCATCAAATATGTGCTGTTTGCAATGATTTTCCACCCTATTTACTGTTGTCTCTCCCATAGATCTTAAAATGTCTCTTAACTCGCCAGCTGAGCTGATATTAACACTAATATGCCACAGATGATCAGAATCTGAACAGATCCTTATGTAAGGATCTCAATCAGAGCAGACTGGCCTGATCTGACCCTGACCAGCACAGTCTCTCCCCTGAATGTGCAGTAGCACGGCACAAAATGCTACACATTTAAGGCTCTAATTAGGAAAAAAAAACTACAGCAACAAATACACTTTTGGTCTTGTCTATCATGCCAGCCTTAAATAGCTTAAATATCTTAAACCTCATTAATGTGCCCATAAAATGTTTAATTATTCCATATGTGTTAAATGTTGTTAATATAAAGGACACGTTTCTATGGGGTTAAAAACATGGTTATGAATTCCTATGGGACCACAAAAAATGTGAATTAACAGGGAACATAACTTGATATACTACTTCTCTCCAGGGATTCTACAAACTTTTATCCATTCTGATCTGTTAATGAGGGACAGGGGAATACATTTCTAATCTTTTTAAGTGTGCAATTTGTGGGAAGTGTAGCCCAGGCTTTCCCAAGGCCACATATCAATTTGTCCTGAGGAGGGACACCAATAGATTGATTGGACAGCTTCTATTGAGTTCATTAGAATGAATTAATGTGAAAGTCTTACTTTCAATATAAGAGTAAGGTTATCGGAGCTTGCTCGGCTTCACGTTGACCATTTTGGAACATGCGTGCGCCCCAAACAAAAGCTGGCATTGTCATCATCTGAGTAATCCTGCTAAAAACACAACTGAGATTCTTTTGTCACATTCAGAAGAACATTCAGAAGTTCACAGAACAAATCACACATGGACAGAAACCTTTTTTTCTAACAAATGCTTTATTGTTCATTTTTAAAAATCAAAACATACTGGTGATCTACAGTAGTACCACAGTACACAGCCAAATAGAAATGAGGGATAAAAACACACAAACACTGCACAAGCATACACGCGCACACCAACATTATGGGCAATAAACACATTTCGGTCTTTTTCGGTCTTTTATCAAACACTCGCCATCATGGTTTCCTCATCAAGAGTAAACAGAAGATACATTCAAGATTCTGTTGTACATAAGTTTTCTTCCCTTTGCCTAAAAATACTTTTTTTATCTCTTCCAGGTCCAGTTTTTACCAATATCTGATCACATTTTAAAAAATGCATCGAAGATGTCTATATACAGAGAAAAGCGGTGAGGAAATCACAGAAAAATAAAATCAATCAAATCATTAAAAAGAATACGGATAACTTGTGAAAAGGCAGATGGCAAACCTTGACACGTTGCCTTTTGTCTTCAGTTTTTCAGAGGAAGCCATGGCAACAGATTAATGCTTCACAAAGACAAAAACTTGTGGAGGAAAAAAGAGGTGTCACATCGCATCGTCAGCTGCCGTCTAGATGAAGTTCTGGGAAGAAAACACAATACAGAATAAGTAGATGAGTGCAAACATTTCCACTGAAATAGAAGTGCAAATTACAGAGACGTGTGAAAGGGGTTTTACGTTTACAAGCAAACCCATCGTACTGATTTGTGTTTTATCCCTTTTTCCCGATTGTTAATTCAGGCATTTAAAAGATTAATCTTTGATGAGGAATTAAATCAGCACTGACATTTGCACATGCATAAGTGCCATTTCTCTGTTATGGAGGGTTCAAGGGGTAGTTCTTCAAATGTCCAAGAAGTTAAAAGCCTCATGAGTCTGGAATTGATTAATGTTGTATTTCTTAGCATTAAACCATCTCAGTGTTAACCAAAATCATCAATCAGGTCTGGCCTCCTCAAACATGCAACCAGTTTCCGGATTGTTTTCATTCACTAAGGTTTAGCTGTATGTCATGTTATCATATGTATTTGTCCAGCTAGTGTTTAATGAGTAGTGGGAATTTCGAGATACAAACAAACACAACATATGCAGAAATCCCACATCATACCATAATCTGATTTCATGCCTGGAAAACATGTAGATCTCACAGGAAAATTAAAGTCTGGTCTTTCAAATGGTCCGACCTACCACCCAAAACAAAAATAAATCACTGGCTCTTCAGTTCCTTCAGATGATGAAAATATATGAGGCATTTTCTGATTAGCAGAAGCAGCTCTTACATGGAAAAAGGCCTCTAAAAAGCCACTACTCATTCTCTGGCATGCCGGACCAGCCATTATGCATCACACAAATTAGTTACACGAAGATGTAGCTTAGATTATACATTAATGATGGACTCAGTCACTCGCTGTGAAAAGTGAAACCAATTTGCATTACCAAAGTGCATTACCACTGACTTTCAGAGCTCAACCAGAAATCAGTGACGGCCTATAAAACATTTTAGACTCCAGCAGATTCCCACTGAAGCCCGAACTCCTCTCATGATAAACTAAGCATGGAAATCCTGATGTTGTGACCTAAATTGGTTTGTTCTACTCGGTCTGCTGGTGGTCTGATTGAGGGAAATTACATAGTTAAAAATATACTCATAAACTTTTTTCTTAATGTCAAACTGTTTGTGAGACAGATAAACAGAAGTCAATAACACAGCTTTTCAGTGGCTGATTGCTTGGTTTCTTTATATTGACTCCGCATCAGGTGTACAATTGAGTGGGAAATATTTGTTCTAACATATAGAGCTTTGCATCATCAGCACCTGACTCATTTCTTGGACTTACTGATGCCATGAAACAGTAGTTGGACCAGTTGGAAGTTTCTGGGGTGTGATATAATATTCCAGGATGCAGTGCAGATTCACTTATTTAGTTGTAAGTCTACGAAAAAACATGTTCAAACACATTAGAGCTCTACAACACTAGTCCAGCTAAATCTTATTTTATTTGTGTTGGTCTGGGGTCACTATATAGGGTAACTGCCTTTTTGATCACTGACCAGAACCAGCAGTAAATCTTTATATTTCACCGTCTGCAACTTCCCTTCAGTCTGTTGTTGAACTGACCCGTGACCGGTGCTGTGACTGCACATTGTACACAATTTGTCTTTTCAAACTTACCTCATCTTTCCTCCGGCCAGCAGCAGAAGATCGTGGAAATACTTTTCCACCGAGGGACCCGTAGCCTGTTTTCTGGTCTTTAGGCATGATGCTTGCTTGACTGTGCTGACTTACATTCTCATCTGCCGATAAAAAAGTAAAAAAGAAAAAAATGGGAATGCTGCAAAGACTAAAAATATAAAGATTTCCGGCTTCTTTCTTAAGCTTAAATTATATATATCCAGTTTAAACATATCAATGTACTAATCGAGGTCCAGGTGTAATACCTACATATACCTGTAACTGAGCGTAATGGATTGTACCTTGAGGTAACCACTTTGTAGATCCTTCCCTTTGGGGGGACAAAAGCCCCCCTCTCTTTGGAAGAGTGGGCAAGTCGCTCCCCTCTTTTCTTTCACTGTCTGTTCGGCTGTGACCCAAAACATCTGCCAGGAGCTGCAGGGAGCCATCTGTGGAAGGAGGGGCCGGTGGCGGCGGGAGTCCTGCGTGTGATTTAACAGAAACGATAAAAAGGAGACAAAGATATTCAGCTTAAAAGGGAAAATAAGATCATTCACTTTGCTGACAGCCAGATCAGACGATATGTGTATTAAACATGAAAGGCTGCTATTGAAAAAAACTGGAAACAGTGGAAAGATGTGGCTCTTCCCTCAAGTATGTATGACACTAGAGCTCCACGATTACCATGGTAGATGTTTGTTTAATCAATGAAAAAGCTGCAGTGATAAATCATTTTCATTAAACCATTTTATAGACAATTTCCCATGGTCATCATGACCTGTTGCCAGGCAACCAGTCAGAGGGTACATAATAATGTAACTGCTCCCGTCCCAAAAAATGTCAAGAGCATAAAACAATCATGAAGAACTTTCAGTAAGAAAACTACTAAGTAGTATAAATATTTTAAAAAGGTGCTTACTGTTTAGAATTAAGCTTAGGTTAACATTAGTTAACTATTTTAACAGTAAAAGATTAAGTACTGATGTAAAAGCTGCTAGTTTCGGGAAAGTTTGAAGAACAAATTCTGATTTGATGAATGCACTGGATCATAAAGCAAACTTACGAAAGGAAGTAAAATGACATATTAGTATACAATATGACACACCTTGACTTGATCCATCATAATTTCAGCTTCAATCTTTTTTTCATGGGAAACAATAATAAAATAAGATGTATGTTGAAATGGAACTGTCAGAGGTCTACATGAATAAGCTCAACATGAAACGGACAATGATGTAAGAATATGATTAGTTTGTTTACATGCATAAATGGCACAAAGCTTTTGTCTAGATTGCAGATAATTAGCCGACATTGTGTGGCTGACTAATGAAACTCTTATAAACTGACAATGAAATCTCTCTATTTCGGCACAGTTTAAACAGTCAGCAATGACTGTGATAAAGATTTACAGGATTTATTTTCTGATGATCATTTTATATTGAGCCAAGACAATCTCTATTTTATTACAAGCTATGATAAAAATTGCTTATATTGAATTTTGATAAATTATAAATCCCATACAGACAATGAAATAACTTCCTACAGACATAGACACTTTAACACTAGGCTTTACACAGAAAATTATATTTGTATTCAACAAGTTTTGCTCCCTGCCTTTTTTTCATCCCTCTTTAATCAGCTTAATTCTCCACATAAGTCTTCCATGGGCCGACTCCACCTGCTGTGGGTCTGACATAAAAGACAGATGTAGCTGAAGCCATGCTGGATCGAGATACAGTGACCTCAGTGTGGAATATGGGATGCTTAATCTCTGGGAGATTCTTGCACATTCCTGTGCTGGACTTGAATTTACTTCAGTCACTTCACTTTAAATGTAGCTTAGTCTTTATGGAATGATTTGAACACAGCTTTGTTCATCAGACTTGGTTAATTAAATGTGATGTCACTGTACGGGTCATTTTACGTTTTTATTGAAATCCAGAGTATCATGTTGGTATCACTTATAAGGTATTATAAAAAAAAGATTTAAGATGTTACAAAAAATTGGTAATTTTCTACATTGACCCACATCTAGGCATCTACTGGTAAGTCACTGGGTATTTCAGCCTTAAAGAAAAAGTAAATAAGAAATGTAAATCATGGTGTTACCTCAATACAATGGTTTTGTGTATGCATAACATAATTATTTTTAACTTGCTTGTCGTTAACCCATATTTAATATCCAGAATCTGGACCCCAAATTTGACTTAATTCGTTGATGAAAATTTAATTTGCTCTTTGGAAACATCTCTATAATAGGTTGTTTCCTTCCTATCAACACATCTTCTAAATCTTCCAAGCACTTTTCCTGTCTGTAATTCAAGTTACCTGTTATGGTTGATTTTTCAACAAACATTTATCATCTATTGTACCTTACCTGCTTCAGTGGGCAGTTCTCTCCTGCTTTGTCCACCCTTGGGGGGTCTCTTCTTACTTCTAGATCTGTGCGCTGGGGGGCCTGACTCTGCAGCTGCAGCAGGAGATTGTCCTGACAAGAGAGCGTGCTTATGTCACCCACAAGAAACTTACAACATGTTGAGGTTACTAAGCTACACTCCAAATTAATACAAAGTGATATCCTTGCACAAGCATTGTTTGTATACTAAAACTGTCTGCAAAATTCAGCATGACAGTGCATTTGTGTGCACTCTACTCTTAAAAGTTGAGGCATTACACTGAATTCTAGCTGACCTTTGCTGAGGCTTTCCCCTCTGAAATCATCTGCCCACTGGCTGGAGCTGTACAGATCACTGGCATCTCTGGCCCTGGTACTGGAAAACGCATCGGGGCTGGACTGGAACACCTGAGAGCCCGAGTGCTGACGGGCCAGCAGGTCAAAGTGCTGCAGGCGTGGACTGTCGTTAGGTTTCTGTGCGTCGCGTGGAAGGGAAGTCATGAGCGTTGCTGTGTGGGGGAGCTCTTTCGGTTTGGACGACTGGCCAGAAAGCTCCTCCCTGGACATATCTGCCAGGTATGTTCTGGCTGGCAGTGGAGGACACCAGTCATCGTCGGCTTCTTCCTCAGAGCTAAAAGATGGATCATGAAGAAGAGGAGCATGAGTTTAAGGCTTTGAGGGAAAGAAAAACATGTCAAACCTATTTGTGTTTCCATATACAGGCACTGCAATGGTGAAAAGCCAAGTAGATCTATTTTATTTTTGTTAAGTATAATTAAGTCTAGTATAATTAAGATGTCAATACATCTGAGCTTGGAAAGTGAGAGAGCTAAGAAAATGTAATTAATAATAATCAGTAAGACATTGATTTAAATATTGCAAAACTCCAGAGGCAGGTCCCACTTTTTAGATCCGACTGGACACACTGGTTCTGTTACTATTTCTGTTACTCTTGCTTTCACATAGAAGCATCAGGACACTGTGATTTTATTATATCTTGCCATTTTTTAACATTCACATACTGCTGATGATGTTTCCACATTATCATTCAGCACCCAAAATGTGTCCAAAACACAAAAAATAAGAAGAGATACGGGCTAGAAGCACATATCTCTTAAGATAACAACTACACGCCTCTAGATTATCACCGAATATGATTGAGAGGAACAATTTTTCAGTCAAATGTTTTGTGTTAGCTTTGGATGTCTTTTATTTTGTACAAATGCTTGCTAATCACACATTATTCACCATAAATATGTCTCTACTAAAACACTCACACACTACCATGTCCCACACAAACCTGTTAAAACAGACTAATCTGGGTCAGGTGTGTTGAGGTACTCAATATTTTTCAGAGAATAGAAAAAAATAAGATTGCTTTTCACCTTTCTCATCTCCAAAATATAAAGAAAGACTACAAACCTGGAATGGAAATAAATCCACAAATTTGTCATATAGTAGTAGTAGTAGAGAATAGTATACAGTTCAGTATATAGTAGAATGCAAAACACTTTTAAAGAACCCATTTATTCAGCAGATTCCTGCGGCTCTTGTAGCACACTTACTTCCAGTTTGTAGTGGCCCTTGCAAATCTGAGAAGGCCATTTTAATTTGAATAGCGTTGTCAGCATGAGCCTCAGAGGAGAAAGTGTGTTTGACCTTTTTCAGTTAAGTATACATGCAAGGGAAGGGTATGAGTAAGGCTTGACCTTCAGTGTATGAAGGTAGAATTTTCTTTGTGTAGCATTTTTTCTTTGCCCACTAAGACCTCCGAAGAATACTGGTTTTCCGACATAAATTGACCTGATTTAAAAAGATTTCAGCAACAACCATAATTAACTAACATTTCGCTGCAAGGTGACAGCACAAATGAGATGACCACATACCCAGATACACGTCACTAAAGAAATCTCATCTACAGAAAAATGTTGACCTTAATGAGAAGATAAATTATGGTACACAACTAAAGTTTGAATTTGTTTCTATCGGCAATGGAAAAGGAGCCAGTAAAGAGTTACAGACGATGAGATCCAGCGCCCTGATTTCTGTTGTCACTTCATAGCCGTCAGGGCTAATTTAATAATGGACGTGTCATTGAAAACGGAACGTGCTAATCCAGCCTGTCAGATGGATGCTAATGTCATTACAAAAAAAACACACGTTGTAGTCAGAACAGCCCTCCGATCCCAGCCGGTTATGTCCGCAATCTAAAGTGTCAGAGCTGGTTACAATAGACGCTCTCCCTCTGCAACCCCAAAGCACAACTCACTCCCTGCCTACAGACATGACGGTTCATTTGCAAAGTCTACAGACTTCAGACTTCACTTAAGTTTTACTTGACAGCCTCTGCATTTTTTAAAGGCTGTTTTTGATGTGTTTGCCTTGGCCGTCTTTGTCGTAGACGTCAGAGGCATAGATGCAAGTTAAAAAAACACGGCATGAACTGAAGCAGAAAAAATAAAGTTACCTCTTGAGGAGTAGAAGAACCTTGAAAAACATCTCTAAGTGTGTGTCTCACCTGTGCTGCGCCTCTTCTTTTTCAGGGTTTGCATGGCCTCTGTCTTTGTTGGTAGGAAGAGGCAGGGATAAGACATCCACCCAGGTTAGAGGAGCTGACTTAGACAAGGACCCTGCAGACTCCTGAAGAACCAGTTTGTCTATAAAACATCACAGAAAGTGTCACAATTCTGGGGATTTTGGCATTTTCCCCACTGTACAGATAGCACTTAATCAGTTGAATCTTTGGTAAATCTATCCCAGCATGCCTTTGAGGAGAGTCTCATACCTTCGTAGTACATTATTTTCCATCAGTTAATGCTCTGACTGTTTTGTGGGACCTTTTCTGTAATCTGTATTCTACTTCCGACTGCTCCATTTCTCTGGTTTTGTAATCCCGTTTAGAAATGTGAGGATGAATTTTCACCATTCTTTAGTGTTGTGTTGTGCTTTTGACTCTATTGAAGTGACCCAGTGTGTCATCACTCTATTTTACCTTTATATTACAAATGATCTTCAACCTGACCCTGAAGCGGAAGCTGCAAACGGCTGTACACAATACATGAGGACGCTGCTCGGCGAAATACCATCTTTTGAAACACGTTTTTCTCTCTGCTTTGCCCATAGTTACTTGAAGGACGTTCTATTTAGTTGACCATTTTTTCCATTCTTTTTTCCCAAATGCAAAAGAACCTCAGGTTTCTGCAAAATTTTCAAGACTGTGTTTTGTATAATGTCTTTACACTAAAGTTGCTGCATCTGTATGTCATCTTGAAATAAACATTCTTTCAAACTGCTCTTCCAAATCACAGTTACTGAGAACTAAGCTGGAGGTTTCCAAGGCAACGTTTCTCCATGAATGCTAACTTTATGAAAGCCAACTGTTCAAGCCCGTCTTCAAGTGGCCATTACACAATGAATGTAATAACACATAGCAACCGTCACATTTCTGCACCCCCTTGTATGGCACTGGATCACTCTGACAGTGTTCCACATTCATGAAGAAAACATTTATTTAACTCCAGTTTTCATTGGCAGTTTAAGATCAGGGTAAATAGTGTAATTTGATTTAATACAACAAAAAATAAATAGACTACAATGAACTATACTGTTGCCATCTTTACTGTAGATCTAGTGGACAGCAAATACTATTTTTCTCCTTCTCCTGAAGGTCTTTAATTGAGTTTGCGAAAGTGTCTCAGAGGCAGCCATGAAAGAGAATCTTGAATATTCAAATGTCAAGGAAAGGCACTTGAATGTTTTCTTTGTACAATCATTTAGCGCAGAGCGCACTGCAACATGCTTTATGAAAGGAGATAATGAGGTCCCACAACTTCTTATGTAACAGCCACATTTGTTTTCCATACAGTCATACTAATTAGATACTTGTGGATCAATATGTGCATGACAGGGTGTGTATGTGTGTGCAACCACAACCAATATCTTTCATTTGAAGACAGTGTCCCCTTTTTCGTTTGAAACAACAAACTTTTCTTATGGGCTGTGTTTACATATTTAATCTGAAACAACAGCAGTTCTTGCTTCAGAACACCAGTCCCACGTTGGACCAAATGTGGGCTAAAGTTTTAAAACATAGTTGTAAAATCCTCATCAGACAGCTCCCAAATTTCCAAAGTGTGTGCTACAGCATAGCACTGATTTTCAGTATGGTTGTCTGGATTATAGGAAACCAAACAAGGTGTTTTGAGTTAAAAGACAATTGTAAGAGAATCATTAGTTTGGGACCCTCTTCCATAAAATACGAAGTTATGCTAGCACGATAAGTTCGCTGACAAAGTCGACACAAAGCAGACTCACCGTTGCTTTTCTTTGTATACTGGAGCTTTGCGTATTCAGACCCCGATTGGCAGGACTGGATGGTCCACCGGTCCAGGTCCTGCTCCAGACCCAGACCCACAAGCCCACTGTTGGAGAGCACCGGGTTGCTGCTGTATGGGTCTGGACCCTGGTTGAAGGACACGCTGGAGTAGGTGTCGTAGTAGGCCAGCAGGTCGTCCTCGGCCGTGGTGTTGATGGTGCTGTAGATCGGACTCTCGTTGGATGCCGCGCTACGTTTCCCCGTCTGGGTCGGGTAGTTGATGATCCCTACGGCTGGACATCAAATGCCTCGGTTATATTAGTCACAGCCATCTAATCCTTAAAATACGCTGTTTCGCTGAACATTTGGAGCTCTTACAGTTATAAAATCTGTCTGAGTCCAGTTTTCCTGAGCAGCAGTTGACCGAGTCTTTGCTGTTGTGGTTGAGGTTCGGAGTGGGCCAAGAGTCTGCCAGCCAGGGGTAGTTGCCCATGTTTGATCCCAATAACCCGGGCCTTGGAAGATAAACGAGAATATACAAAAGCTTCTTCTTTAGAAAAAGACACAGAGGGGCACCTAACCATCTGAATAGAGTCATAATGCAGAATTTACCCTCCATTGATGATTCCTGATCCTTCGCTGTGAGCAAAGCCAACTTCAAAAAGAAAAAGAGCAAAGATGTAAATCTTGTTTGGCAGCAGGGAAGAGAAAGCTTTTACCTCAAGCATTTTCCCTTTTTACAGATTCAGTAAAGGATAAAGACATGTGTGCAGAAACATGATGCTCCACAATATGATCCAATAAACAGTTTATCCCAAGCGGGGTTTACAAAAGCAGATTTGAATTGATTTCTATGAAAACACACTCCCGACCTACATTTAGTCAGAAATGTTTTTACAGTACATTATGCTTGCAATACATAAAAACGCTGACATTATTCTTCTGCTGTCTAAATTGACGTGACCACAGTGGATTCAACAAAGAGACACAACATAAAACAGCAATCACCAGGAATGACTGGTGGAAAATCAAACTGCACGTGTTCTGCTGAGCAAACAGTGGGGCGCTCATGTGCTCGTGCACGGTGCTGCGTGTGGTTGTGATTCCATTCTGCACTGCATCAAGTCTGTTTCTTTCTTTTTTTTTTTTTCCTTTTTATGGTGTGCAAACAACCCAGTGGGGATAAATACATTTTAATTAACTGCGAATGTGTTAAGAGTCGCTCTGCAAAACACAAGCCGAAATTGAAAACATTCATCACCGCTGGAAATATTCCCAGAGGTCTAGAGACAACTTTGTCACTGTCACCAGTTGAAAACAAAATCTAACGGTAATCTCTGAAAGCTGACGTTTTTTTTTTTCTCTACATCACCTTCCCTGTAAATGATATGACAACTCAAGTCAGAGTCTTCATCAAAGTCCCGAAGCCTGTCGCTGCCAACTTTTCTGCTCGTCAGCACATTAACTTGTCCTAACTGTTGCTCAGACGGATAAGCCTACGTCTTTTTTTTTTCCCTTCTCACCTGCTGGCGTGTAAGCGAAGGATGTGGTGTAGTGGCCCAGCTGCTTCCTCCGGCGGTGGCGGCAGTAGAGCCAGCCGCTGAAGCTCATCAGGACCAGCCAGGCCGCCACGCCCAGCCCAGCGATGAAGGCCGGCTGGCAGATGACGCTCGTGATCTGCTCCGCGACGCTGAGGTCCCCGCCGCTTTTCACCTCCTGGAGCTGGGCTGGAAAAGAGAGAACCGTGCAAGCCGTGTTAGGCAAAGACAGAAAAAAACAAAACAATTATGCTTTTTGTGTAATGACCGATCTGAGTTTAAATGAATCGCTCAGCCTTTTTCTGGGGAACTTGGATTGTTTTTACACTTTCCACCTTATCTGTTAATCGCTGTTTGGCTCAAAATATGCTAATTTGTGGAGCAGTAATTGTGCAAGTGCATTGCATTTTGAGAAAGGGCCTACTTCCTTCCATTTCAACCCATTAGTTAATGTACTAATGGCCAGTTAATAAGAGGACACTCAACCAAAACAACAACTGAGAATCTCAATGGATGCTGAGGCTAATTTTTTTAAAGATTTTCAGCTGCCTGTTACTATCACTTATGACTTTTTAACTGACTGGGCTTCAGTTCCCTGTCAGTTTTACTAATTTGACACTGAAGTCCAGGATTTGGAAATGCATGAGAGGTGTTTTGTAGCGACAGAACAAATAGCAAAGAGATTATGTGAAACTGATATTTTAGATTGTGGTGGTTTGGGAGTGGTTATGAATGAAAGACCCAATACAGGAACCCCCCCCCCACATCTCTGACTCCTAATAGCTGGCTTGACTTTAATGAGCAGAAACCCTTCACTAAAGAATCTGGGTCTCATCCTTTCTCATTCAGTTCGCAGGTTAGATCTGTATACAAAAACAATTGTAAACCAAGCAATCCCCTTTTCCTCTGAGGAGCATGAACCCATTTGTTCACACATGCTAATCATAAAACCGTTGTAAATAGAACAAAGGAAGATAAGCATGCAGGTGTGTAATGAGGCTTGCCATTGTTTCAGGGAGAAAGCCCGGTTCATTCTCCGTTATCACAGCTACAGGAGAATGAATCTTTCCCCTGTTTTACCACTGCAGAGTGGATCGTGAGACAGAGTCCTTTTCTTTTATCTCAAACAGATACGAGTTCGCTATCTATACATAAGATCTATTTAATGCAAGAACTGGTGTTAGAAAATTCATTTTATCACACCACAGGATATTTAGCAGAAACAAAGTGGAGACAACAAAGGATATTAATACAGGTAAATAAGTGTGACTCTGACTTTCTCACTTTCATATTGTGATGTTTGTCAAGTGCACGATGATCACATCCCACCCTGGTTTTTAACTCCATCTACAAACCACAGCCGACCAGGGCCCCCCATGCAGGTTTTACCTGCTGTAAAGTTCTCCTGCTGAGAGCGCCTCTCAGCGTGTTTTTCAGTGTGTGATAGCTGCAACAGTTTGAGTGACTCACTGAGAAGCAGGCTGACAGGCTGGCTCTGAGCGCCCACACCCAGGCTGCTGACAGCAGCCACCACCACGGTGTAACGGACGTCAGGCAGCAGGTCCATCAGCAGGATGGAAAGAACCGCTCCGTCCACAGTTCGGTTTATCTGGCTCCCCTGCTCCACGTCACTGGCCACACACCAGACCTGAGAAAAAAACAAAAAAAACAGGAAGTCAGTCAGTGGTGAAGCTTCAAACAAGACAAGGCTTCTGATTACTAACAACTCCAATTAAAGCCTGTATTTCTACACTATGGCGCATAAATAGGAGTATCATTTTGAGTTCTAATATTATTCATTCATCCACAAAAACTGGTTTAAATGTTTACCATTATCTGAAAACGTTCAAGGCAGGTCAAAAAGTATAGTGCCAATTTTTCTGCCTTTTTTTTAAGCCATAAAAACATAACTGAACTGAGTGGTGATATAATCTTTTTTTTTCTATTTTAGATTCATTCAATTTTATTTATGTGGATAGCATCAAATCATACTAGATGTCACTTCACATTCATGAACTTTTCTTACAAAAAAAAGTTGATTTTTTGGTTTTGTTTCACCATATTTATGCATTCAGGTTTAAATGTTCCTGATCTTTCATGTATGTATGTCGTACTATGTTCTCTTTTTTTTTGGTAAATGTTATTGGTAAATCAATTGATCTATTGGACCACTTCGAACTCTCAGTTTCAAAACAACTGAAATGCAAAATTTTTATTCAAACGACTAAGGAAAAATTATTTGCTTCATAGAACTAGAACAAAAATTACTGACACATGAAACACTCTCTTGAAAGGAAGGCATTTAATCTGAAATTTAAAGGTATTTATAGAGAACATGTTATATTTCAACTTTAAACAGTTCATCCTACCCCATTAAATCATCCCACTGCTTTTTATGCTTCTGTACTTTTTTATGAATGCAATGACAAAAACAACATGTTTTCTTTGCAGCTCTCCTAAAATCAATATTATAGTAGACCTAAACCTTGTCTTGGAACAGCAGACTGATAATTACTAATCAGTGCTGTGCTAGTCCAATCATAACTTTGTGTTTGTTCACAGAGCAAACAGATGTACAGATGAACACTGGGTGTTCAGCAAAGAAACTGATGACAAAACAAGTACCGGCAGCTCAGGAGCAGCAGTGAGTAATTACAAATCCCTGATTAGGATTCAGTTTAGTAATCTTCTACACAGCAAATCTGGTCAGAGATGAGTAATTCGTGCTGGAAAACAAACAACTCGTTCCCCACTTAGTCACAGTCTGGTGGCCTTTGAGGCACAAATACATTTCAGAGGACACATTGTGAGGTGTGGGCTCACCTTGTACTCTTGAATGATCCCACTCTGAATATTATGAGGTGGCGGCTCCCAGGAGACACTGATGCTGGAGCCGTTGGTGAGCTGAACCACTGACACAGCCTGTGGAGCAGCGCTTAAAGCTGATGACACAGAATACACAGATGTGGAATGAGTCTATGAGTAGTAATAGATACCGGTGACATCATCCTGATTCATGTGCAGGTCCTTAATGTTTGTCTTATTTCAATGTTTTTGCGTAAACAAAGAATGGAATTTGGAGATAGGTCTAGAGAGTTTTAGGGAAGCAACTCTGTCCCCTCGAGGATGCTTTGACATTTTCTAAATGACTTTTAAACGATTAACGATAAAACTCTTCAGTGGCTTAGTAAAGGTGTAGAGCCCAGATTTCAGTTTTGGTTTCAAAAGAGTATTTTTGGATGGGCATGTTTACGCAGTTACATAAAGGGAAAAAAGAAATCACTATCTCAACTACCATGACTATTTTTGCTGTAAATTGTCCATAATTTGCCTTGTAACACAGAGATTAAAGCAACATCACTTTGTTTTTTTCAAGTAAGATGAACTACTGTTGGCCTTATGCATTAATTAAAATGTTCAGAACCAGGCTCTATGATCCCAGTTCAGATTTTTTTTTGTGAAATTACATGTATTTGCAAGGCAGAAAAACTCATGACTAGATAACTTTTAGAGAAATGTGAGGGTTAACATTTATATGATCGCTATTTCTTCATCATGTAAAGTTTTACTGTTTTATTGCTTTAACACGCTGGCTTCATGCTTGTTAGTCTCATATCAAGTTCTCTACTCCGAACACCGACATGTGTATTTATCCATGTCGCTTGCGGAGGTGATTCATGAGGAACACGAGTTAAAAAAGAGCCTTTCATAGTCAGCTGGGACTATCTCTGAAATAAGTGGGCTGACACCTGTTAGGTGCACCCACAGCACCAGGAAATGATTCAGTTGTTGGTGAGCTTGTACACTTATTTTAGCTAAAAATGTGGCAAATGAATAAAAACACCAGTGCCAGAATGTCTGTCAGCATGAGGTTAAGAAGATTTCCATTTGCACCCCGACACCATGTGAAAGACAGAAAATCAAACAACCTTTTTAAAACGTACATGTTTTTACATGACAATTACTATCCTTTGATACTGAGAACATTATCCGTGAGCATTTCTTACCCTCCTCAGGGGTACGCAGCAGGACCATGAGGCTGTCGTGTCCCTGTAGCTCATTGAAGTACGGCCGTATCTTGATCTCGTACTCCGTGTTGCTCTGCAAATCAGCCAAGATGCAGCTGTAGTCTGACGTGGCCTCCACATCCTGGACCACCCAGGTGCTGCCGATGGTTCGGTAAAATAGGCGGTAGCCCTGGATGTACCGGGACTGACGCGCTACCTAAAAGGGTTTTCCAGGAAAAACAAACACTTTTCATATTTACGTCAGTGAATGACATTTAAAAAAAATTACCTGCAGTTTTTTAATTGAATTATTTGAAAATCGGGACTGAATTGGACTCACCGTCCAGGTGATCCTGGCGCTGTTAGGAGACAGAACGACAGGCTTCTGCAGGTGGACGGACACCTCTCCCAGCTCTCTCTGCACCTGTCTGTGGTCCACACCCTGTTCTGTCGGACTCCCATCTGAAAACACAAAGCAATCCATTCAGCCCGGGTCAGACGAAGTAAGAAAAACACAGCTAAATAACAGCCACTTAGCGCAAAAAAAGGATTAAAAAACCCAATAAATGGAATTCTCCTCACAGCAGAAGAGCACCACGCTGAAAAGGCAATTATGATATCATGCTTCAAAAGAAGTTTTTCTCTAATTGGCAGAGTACATTATCTCTGCCCCACATAATGTAGCTCTGATTTCTTTCTGGAAATTGTCAAACTGAAAAACAGGCTCTAAATCTGGAATACAAGAGTTTTCTGACACAAAAACGATTATTTCTGGTTATGTAACTCACCCTGTGTCCTGACAGGCTCGGAGATTGGACTGGGGTCACTGAGACCATAAGAGTTGACTGCTCGGACGATGAAGAGATACACCGTGTTTGGGAAGAGCTCAACGACTGTATGTGTCTCCTGTTTGACGTGGTCGGCCACAGTTTGCCAGGTACTGCCCACTGACTGGCTGAAAGGCAGGAAATCATAATCAGATTCAAGAAATAAGAATAGAAAAAGACATCCAAACATTTAGTTATATCAGATCTTTATCGGTCAAGTGTTTAAAGATTTTTTTTTTCTTTTAAAGCAATCTGTGCTGTCATCTTCATGGATTCACAATACGGGCCTCACTTCTGATGCCCTGATATAAGAATAAATTAAGATGAAACTGTCAGTCAGAAAGAAAGAGAGGGATCCAAATTCTATGTCATCCTAATTTACAGTTAAAGACATTTTTTTCAAGGATGAGATAACACAGTATCAAATCTCAACACATAAGTTAGACTTAGCTGGGGGACATGTTATTTTCTCTGTGGTGTTTGCACCACTTGTTTATCTTGACAAAACGATAATTTGATGTTATTTGATGTTATATCTGGTTCGAAATAGAATATGTGGACAGAAAGTGTCAACTCTGTGTCCAAGCCCTCAGGGACACTATCAAACAGCACGAGAGGTGTTTAACATTTTCCTGAACTCCACGAAGAGGGGAAATAGCGAGGTAAAATGACATGACGCAGGTCAGTGCTTTTTCGTATCATCAGGGGCGCATATCTCACCAAATATTCTGCAGAGCAGTGGTTATGCCATTTAAATAGAGGCAAGCTGCTTTTCTAAATTGCTTTTCAAGTCATCCCTGCTTCCATCTTCCCATGAATATCCCACCAATATTTCTTGTCTTCTAAATCAAAAAGTGTAGATGTGGGTGGTGATGTGTTCATTATGCAAAAAAGGACACGGTAACTGAAATATATGTTTGTCATATGGTATTTCTAGCTTTTTTCTTTTTGAAACCTGAAAATCAGCACTTGCTATTTATAGGCGGTGGAGCATGGAGGTGTGAATGGTGAGTCCTTTCACATGCACATTGCAGAGAAAAGCTTATGTTTGTCTCTGTGCTCTCTGCGTTGCTTCACTAATGACTGAGTTGGCATGCGTGGCCTTTCTCCGTCACTTGAGGACAGGCCGGAGTTTTCCAGGCTGACCACTGCAGTGGCTGTGTCTGCTGTCACACACGGTCTGTCTTGCTGCCGCCCCTGGTCGGTTGTAAAGAACCGTTTCGGTTCTCCTCAGGACGCCGCGGCTAAACACTGATGCAGCAAGTGCCACGGTTTCACTCCCCAACGTCACCTAGCAGAAGTGTTTCTCCCTCTGGCAGGAATGAGTCATTTACAAAACTCTAACGACTCTAAATGAAGAAGACATCACTATCAGGGAATAATCCGGAAGGTAGTGAGACCTTTAAAAGCCCAGGAAGGTTAAGCGGTGCTGCTTGCTGAACTTTAAGGTAGACACTAAATTGTTCAGTGATAGTAAGTATAACATAAAGACCATAATTAATCTTCACTCCGTGACACAGAGACCAGCAGGCTTAAGGGTAAAGGTGCATTTTCTCCTTCAAAATGTTATCCAATGTTCTCATTTCTACCATAGGTCTTCTGTTTTCATGGAGGTTTAGGGTACAGGTAAGATTTAGCAAATTAGCCAAACAAAATGTTTCCATAGATAAACCAAACTGATTGTTTTTATAATAATATTTTGCAGCATAAATAATCCAAACAGGCATTCACTGTTTAAAAAAGACTTTGTGTACATTTACTCCTGGAATGACACCACAAACAAAACCATTACCTTGAGAATATTTGTCTATATCATTTTTCCATAACCAGCTCAAGGGACCCCAGAGCCAGTCCTTGTTATCTTTTTTAATTTAATTTTTTTAATCTCCGGGCCAAATTGCTGCCCCATCGATGACTGTAAAAAAGACTGCACTCTCCATCTCTTGAGAGTAACTGGCATTCACATATACATTTACAATGTCCCATGAATCTTATAAAAAAGGATAGGATTCATGGGAGTGGATAACTCTGCACCATAAATCAGCTGCTATGGAAACAGAGCATGAAGACAGGACTGGAAATGGAGCTGTTGTGCTGTATCTCTGTGGTATTTTGGCATGCCATAGAAATCTAACGTGACATCAGGAAATGAATCATTATCATTCTAATCATAATATGTCTCCTTTGAAACAAATCGTGCCTGTATATACATGACACGGAACTACAGAGCCAGAAAACAATCTATCGCTAATTGTAAACCTTAAAATGTAAAAGAAAAAAATGTATTAGATACACTAAAGAAATCAGTAGCCACTTTGCCTCTAAAGGTTTCATTTCTCTGAAGGTGAAACTTGTGAACTGATTGATAAGATCAGATCATGAGGGATTTTGTTCCATGCGAACACAATCATTTTGACAATACTGTCAGTTTTGATTACAGTCCTCATTTTTCTCCGGTATTGAAGATGAGACTCAGCATTATGCATAATGCAGACATAAATACTCATATCACTATTTATATCACTAACCTGAAGGCTTCAATTATGTAGGAGGTGACAGCGGCTCCGCCCTCATGTGGATTGGACAGCCAAGTGAGGGTGACGGTGCTTTTGGTGACCTCGGTAACTACGGGCTTCTGTGGAGGTCCTGGTAGCTGGATAAACTCAGAAACTTTGGATCCTGAAGACGCTGCATCCTCTATCACAACAGAAGCAACCGCATCAAAGGATTGATTCTGACCGACAGAATGCAGCATAAAATAATGCTTTTTCTGTCTCGTTAAGGCAACAGATGGTGCTCCTGGTAGGAACACCAGCAGAGTATGTAGTTTATTGAGCGTCGAAGTGTTGTGTGAGAGTGATAGAGTGTGAACTGTAACAAAAGAGACAGTGTGTCGAGTTTTCGGTATAAGTACCTCTGACAGTTAACATCCCGCTCCAGCTCGATTCCCCTGTGGCGCTAGATACCATGCACGTGTACATCCCAGAGTCCGTGTCCTGTTAAACAGCAATCAGCATTTATGATGGACACCAAAGAATAAAGTCTGACAGTAATATCTGAAAGCAAAAAAATGCAACCTAGGCATGACACAGAAGCAATCCCAATAGGGGGACAGGGGGTTTGAGGCTTTTCTAGCTGACGTTGGGCGAGAGGTGGGCTCCACCCTGGACATGTGGCCAGTCCATCACAGGGACCACACAGAGGCAAACAACCACCCACCATGCAAACTCATCACAGTAAGGGTACCGTTGCCCCGTGGATTCGAACCAGGAACCCTTTTGCTGCGAGACAATAGTGCTAACCACCACATAACTGGGAAGCATGTTGAGTCACTCCTATCCAAATAGTTTTATGAAGGTAATTGAGTCATATTACACCTGACTATGTTTCAGTTTGGTACTGTATGACAAAGAAGAGGAACATAAGAATGCCCCCGAGGGAATGGCCTCTTGTAAATTAATCTGCTTTTTCTTTTTTCTGTGAATTCATCATTCAAAAAAGTGATTTTCTCATATCATAAAATATATTTTTGTGAGCTGAGTGGAACTGCTGCTCCAACTTTTTACAGCAAATGTGTGTATCAACAGCCTATAATTAGCTATCAACTGCATCCATCAAGTTTATTGGAACTTGTGAGCAATATTACTTATGAATGCCAGTTACAGCTAAACTGGCATTAGCAGTCAAAAATAGGCCGTACACAACACTGGCGTATTAGTACCTAATAAAGTCTTTATAGCCAATCTTAACAGATCCCTATTTACATTATGGAGCAGCTACCTGATTCTGAATAAGTGTGATGCAGAAAAATCTGCAGGTCATGACAACTGAAAAATGAGCTGAGAAACATCAAAAAGCTCAGCAGAGCTGGGGGGCACAGTGGCGTTGTGTGATTGTCACTACAAACATCACCCTTTTCTGTCAGCGCAGGCATATGATTCATTATTAAATAAAAGCACTCAGTCCAGCATTTTTATGGACAAATTTAGATGTTATCTATGCTAATTGAAGCATTTCTCCAATGAAGCTCGCAGCGGGGGAAGTAAAAAAATCTGTTTTGTATTTGCGTTCATATTGTTGGGATATTCCAATTAACTACTAAATGCCATCTGATGCACAGAATAAGCAAGTCTATAGACATATCAGGAAAGAGGCTAACGTTAAACATAAATGGCAACTTCAGGTCCCCTGATAGCCAACGCTTATCTAAATAGATTTAAGCTAAATAGATGTAGCATCCACAGCAGACCAACCAAGTCCTTAATCAGCTGTTGCAACAGAATTTGAATTATTCCACTGTAATGGCCACACGCTTTGTTTATGTTCATTTACAGGGTGCCCTTATTAAATGGTTTATTTTGCGTTTGTACAAACCTGCTAGACCAAGAAAAGTGACCATGTTGATTTTTCATACTCGCGCTTTGATAAATCACCTCTTAGCCCTCATCAGAGCTTGTACATACAGAAAGACAAACATTTTAGTGTAAACTACTTCTAATCAGGCTTTCTATATGCTGTACAAAGTTGCCTTTTAGTGAAGCAGTATATAAGAAGCATAGATTTACCTTGTGACCAGCTTTATGTGTGAGTACGCAACACCATTTAAAAGGTGTAGAGCTTTAGCAGTAATTCATACCTCTGCATTTTTATCTGTACTGCTTTGCTTTCGGTGACAGATGTTTATGCTAATGCCAGCTCTGATGTTTGAATGTTGCAGCCTCATAACTCTGGATGGAATCTATGGTATAACCACCAGGGAGGTTTTGTCCTCTTTTCTGGCTCATTCTTACAGGGCCACAGAGACAAAGGCGGCAACATATTCATAATTGATCATTAGCTGTTTGCTGAAGAAAAGAGCCAGAAGACATTTGATGTTTTTGGCCCATTTGGACTGGTCTTAGACCATGTAAAAGGATAAAGGATAGAGACCTCAGTAGACCTTACTTTGATTATTTGGATTTTGTTTTTTTGTTATACCTTAATCGTAACAGCTACTAGGTCAAATTTAATTAATTGATAGCCTTGTTGTACTTACATAGACATGTCTGTATTTTTCCACTGATTACATTTTAATTTTAAGGAAGTACTTTCATTTGAGTGCCATCCTTCCCTTTCCTTTCAGGGGCTCCACTCTACTGCTCAGCCTGCCTGTCTGTTGACATCATCAGCTGTATGCGCCTGCACGCTTGACTGATACTTGTGGTGTTTGCTCTGGCGCTGTCCTGGCTGAGAGCCAGCCCGCTGGAACTACCATCAGCCCACATGAGATCATCCTCCGCAGCGCTGACCTCTGGCTGACAGACAGCGCAGCGTGCGGGGCAGGTGAACTTTTTTAGAAAATTCTCCAAACTGCCGCTAAAATATTGATGGCTGGTCGGGGCAACAGCAGGGTAAATATTTTTAGCCCCTGACTCGTCATCTCCATTTCCCCTCTTTTTTTTTTCCCCATGTCACCCCCTCGATGCCACACTAATGCATGTCTTCTGTTCCATTGAGCACATTGCCATGGCAGATTTCCCCTGCCTCAGCGGTGCACTGGACCAGACCTTAATGCTCCAAGTTGGCTGCAAAGCACTGCTGAGAAACAGGGTGGGGTAGGAGGTGGATAAGCAAAGTCCAGCCTGAAGATCTAATTAAAAGCCAGTCAGATGATTAATAAGCTATCGCTAGTCAATTAATGAAAATGATGCTGCCTTTGCACTGTTCTGCATTTACTCACTGACCTCCAGGTGGGGTTACAATACAAAGGCTTCTGGACTTCTCTTCCATCAAAGGAGAGCACATTAGCATTTATAAACAAGCACCTTCATTAACATTACAATTACACACCGCATGAACACATAATTGCATTGGAGAGATAATGCACCGCCTTAGAGAGACTGGTCTTTGAAACTCAGTCTCACCTTAATTTTGCCAGCGAAAATGGAATTTCTGATTGAAATGAGATAAAACCCTGTCACTATGTGGGCTGCAGAGAAGGTGACAAGAGGTCAGAGATGAGACATTCTATTATTCCGTTCGGTGTTTGTAGTTCCTATCTGGCATTCAGTCAGTTTTCCCTTCTGCTTTTTAAAGCAGCTGACTTTCAAAACTCATCCTTTTCAAGCTTTTTCCAATAAACGCTATCCGCATGTGCACGCAAACAACACAAGCGCTCACACGCACACACACACACCTTTACGTCCGTGATTTGCAATGTGCCATTCTCCATCAAGGTCAGTCGAAGTTTATATCCCTGAAGCTGCTCGCCATCCTTCTCCCATGAAATCTTTACCGATGCACCCCCGACCACACGGCAGTGCAGCAGCACCGTGGCACCACGAGATACCGTCTGGTTGGCTGGGCCTTGTTGAATGATTGGCGGGATACGGCCTGAAGGACCTAGCAGTTTATGCGAAGAGGAAGCAGAATATCTTGTTAAAAGTGTCTTGTCTTTTCTAAATAAAGACACAAAAGAAAATAGTGGACAAAAACACATTTCGAAGATGAAAAAAAAAGGCTTACAAAAAATGTGATTCTAAAGTTGACGGCTGTTTGAGAGCTAAAGGTTACAATACTTTGGTGCTTAGCAAGCAGAAAACAATAGGCTGCATAAAAAGAGGGGTGGGGGTGGGAGGGTTAATCTGCTGTTTTTAAGCTGCTCGAGGAAAAATATTAGGCCTTAAACTCATTGCTCATCCAGCATGGGGTCTCCGTGTGTGGTTTCACTGCCTCTATGAGCCTTATTGTTATGCACCTACTAAGAAATTAATATGTTTCCCCTCATTAGGTAATAGCACAGACTAAACCTCTCGCAGGCTCAAACACGGCCATTTGGATCAAAGACTCACCCCCTTCCACCTCCAGCAGTGCTTTGGTCAAAACACTTCCTGCTACACTGATGGCCTGGCATACATAAAAGCCCGAGTCCTCGGGGTGAACATCAGTTATGGTCAGCTCTCCGCTCATGGAAACAGAGTAACGACCAGACTGGGACGGTGGCTGACCAGGGAACAGCAGCATCTGAGTGCACAAACAGAGAAACAGGAAAACAGAGACGAGTAGAAGATTCAGAAGATTCGGACCAAAACTGTGACGTCTGATCAACTCCATTGTCCAATAATCCGCCCAAAGAACCCAAATGAATTTTATTCGAGAGGAAAATTATGATATTTTTGCTGATGTTCTGATTTCTAATCAACGCCGTCACATGTCGAGATGTTCCCTTTGCTACACTTTGGTACAAAAATAAACATTTTAATTTGAAAAAACAGCCTCATTCAGCTGTACTTATCATTGTGCACAGATTTATGCAGCCATTAGTCTTGCTTGATAAATGACTTGAGAAATACTCAATTATTTGATTTGTTGGCTTATATATGATTTGATCCGGATCACAGCTAACAGACTAATTAATCAATCCCTGTTGGGTGGATCAATGAGTTTCCAACAGACAACATGTAAACTATCTATTTGAATGAAAATGCAGGCGAAAAGAACAACAGATGGTTTGTTTTGTTGTTGTGGAAGATGATGTGCGGTGACAGACATTTCATAGCAGTCCCATACTGTTTTTCTGTGACTGACATGGATGTGAACAAGGGGGGAGGGATGCATCCGCCCGTTCAGCCATCCATTTCATTTCTCTAAGAGGCTTAGATTTCAGTAGACGGACCGAGGTTATAAGGCTAAAGATAATCCTCCAGATACAGCAAAGAGCTCTACAAAAACAGCCAAGCCATGCCACTGGCACAGACTAGAGCTTATTCATAAAATTTGTAGCTGAGCAACTACCTGAAGACCCTCAGTCTGCTTATGCAGCCGGTAATTGAGAGAAGATGTACTTAAAGTTGAGAAGGATGTGAAAAGAGGGCAGTGTTTGTCTGCAGGTTTGCCCTTGAGATGCACTTTGAACACCACGGTTACTTCCTGTAAGCCCCAGCTCCATTCCTCCAATCACGTCCCTGTCAGCCTGCGCTGCTCGCAAACAGGAGGAATAGTTTCTCCCCAGCACAGTACAGTAATGTCTTCCAACACACTGGCTCCATGATAAGGCCGAGCCAAATGAAAGGCTTCTGCGTTTGTATCCGTTTGTGTCTTGAGATTCGCCTAGGAGCGTGTGGGCACTTCAAAAGCAGGTGTCATGATTGAATCAGACCAAACCTGCTTCTGTTGTGGTGACTCATTCATGCCTCTAGAATAAAGGAGGTGTGAATATCAGCTCGTGGATTTGGTTAACAATAAGCATGCTGTAAACTTTACCAAACCACCAACATGTACATAAATAGCATCCTGAAAGTTTCACTTGTTGGGGGATTCAGAAATAAGAATTTATTTTCCTGGGTGTCTCATTCGCTTCGGTATTTAACCTCCTGAAGTTTCCCATATGCCGCTTCAGTATCTTACCTGGCTGCCCTCTTTCTGCCAGAAAATGGCAGGTGGGGGGTTTCCTGTGGTGCCACATTGGAAGGTGATGCTCCTCCCCTGTGTGGCAATCTGGTCCCGGGGCTTACTAACGATCTGGGGTGGTACTAGAAGAGAAACAGGGAGAGCAAGCGCCCATTAAAAGGCTTATTTCTGCATGAAAGTGCCTGTTCAGATTCCTTAATCTGGTGGGGAAATGTTATTTGTATAAACTACAGGTGTGTTTTATGTTTCAATTTAGCTAAGAATCTACATACACATACTTTTATTAGGTAATGGCAGTCCAGTTCTGATGGGAGCTCAGAGGGAAATGCAATGAACATGCAGTATTTTTTAAATGGCTAATTTAACAAGGTTGTTTTTAGAGAGGAACTGCTAACAGCTCGTATAAAATAAATCAAATGTATACACAGTGGTACAGAACACAAAAATATGGAGGACAAAAGCAGCTAGTGTATTAAGCAGCTCTTCATCACTTCCGTTTCCACTGAATGATAAAGCTTTTATAAGCCCCTAACAAGCAGGATGTAGCGCTGTCTCTTTAACCTTCAAAGTTTTTTGATCTGCCACGAGACTCTTGTTGCTCTCTCATCTTTAATGAGAGAAATCACCTCCAGGTCCTCTGAGGGAGAGGAAAAAAACAAAACCAAACAAGGAAACAGATCATCGCTGAAAAAGCCGGCGTCATCCTGATGACATTTACAGAGTTATTTTGAGAAAGGTCCTACCAGATCTGCCAGTTTCCAGCTTAGGTCAGATAACTGCGTTAGAACATCCTCTGATGATTTACACTGGCCGCTGCCTGTGACTCCTCAGCCAGAATAATTTGCTCACATTTTTTGCTGAATGATGATCTTATTCAGCCTGGTGTCAATAGAAAACCTCCACACAATGTATATGAACCCACACAACCAGATGCTCAGTTGTGTATCCAGGACATGAATTGAAATTAATCTCCATAAGATTGCTGTTACTATTACGACTTATCTCAACCCCACTGAGAAAATGACTTCAAGACAGAAATATGCCTAAAAATATGTAGAATCCCACATGAGGAAAATCTAAAAACAAACTCACACAACACGTATACACACATATTTGGCTCAGGAGACGAGATCATATCTTAATACTTTCGCTGAAAGTGACCACAGAAGACGCCACACACCTTCATCGCCATCAAAGTGGTGTTATTATGTTTTTGTGAATTTTCTTTTCATCAGATGCTCAAACGTCTTTCAACAAATCTGACATTTAGTAACACAGAGCATCAGATTTCCCTCACCTATTAGGTTTTTTGGGGTTTTTCAGTTTCCAGACGGGGTTTGGCTGAGGCCATTTCTTCGAAAAATCTTTTAAAGGACTCTCAGTGGCATTTCCAATCTCTTCAAACTAATAGCTGTTATCAGATCGTTGCTGTTTTTTTCCTTTTTTTGGTTGTGAAAAGTCTAGCTGATGTGAAACAGATACTGGTTTTCTTTCATCAAATTGAGAACCACTGATAACAAATTGTTCCTATAGTGAAGTTAAGATTACAATCTAATTAATTTATTTTTATTAAGGTTCTATTATAATCTGCTGTTTGCCATCATTGTCTGATAAAACTATATTTGAACGCAACAAAAGATGAAAAATATTGATTATTTATTACTAAAAATGAATTATTCATATTCATACAACCTTCATAAATGGCAGGGGTATTGTGCCAATTTTAAATAAAACATCATGTATTTATTTTCAGATCTCACAAATCTGGTCTGATATCATCCGACCCTGGTCAAACATCCTTGCATCTCTACAACCAGCAAAGGGTCCTTAGGGCCCTCTGGGTTCTGGAAATACTCTTCATGAATTGGACTCGCTTCCCATGGATGCTCTCAGATCCCATCAGATTGGTCTCTTGCAGGTCTGGAGATCAGGAGAACGACCAAAGACACTGTGCAAAATGGTGCGTCCATAGTCTTTGGCATGTGGGGGGTGGTCGGTCTGCAGAATGTTTTATGTTCATGTATGTGTCAAACTGAAGTCCAAGGATGTGAGTCCATGTCAGTCCAAGGATGCAGGATTTACCAGCAGAACAACATGAGCATGGGTAGTTTAATATTAAACAGCCATTTCTCTCTGGCTATGAGAATGCAAAGTAAGACCTTTCTCCTAATATTGAACATTGAAACAGGTACGGCTTTAAAGAAATGTGTATTTATTCCATCATAAGGGATTTCCAGCAACCACTGAAACCCCCTGAGAAAAGATTATTTAGCCTTTTCTAAATATTCTTAAAACAGAAAAAAATCTATGCAGTTCTGCTGGGTAAAGACATTCTAAAAGGTTATTTTTCTTTGGAAAAGGAGAAGAGAATCACTGGTAACAGCAACTAACATGATCTACACCATTTACACATATATACAGTCTTCCTTTTTTTCAACAGGGGAGACTGTGCCTGTTACTTATGATTATGATTACTTTTCTCTTAGATGTTAATAAAATGTCTACACAAACAGCTCTAGTAAGATTAGACAAGATACTGGAAATGACAAGTACTTCTATTACAATATCTGTCTGAAAGACTAACAAATAAAGAATATTTTGGATTTAAAGACTACTTATTGGTGAATGAAATATTCTCATCTGTGACTCGAGACTTGGGCTCTCATCTGATCATTGATTGAGTCTGGCTTTGTGGCAAATTGAATGACGTGCAAGCTAAATATAGCTGCATGGAAATACAATATGAAGTGGCTTTGCAATCAGACTTTTCAAAAGTAATTCATTAGACCACCCTAACACCATGACCAGGAGATTTTTATGTTCCATATTTTAAAAGCTCTGTTTTGCACCCAGCTAACAGTTAAAGGACAGAACGGAGTTCCTTGAGGGCAGAGCAGGTTGAAATATATTTTTAAAAATTAAATTTGCATTTGTCTAATGGGAAATATGGGACGTAATCAGATGCAATTTGCTCGAAGCAAAACTCCTCTACTAGCTTCTTTCTTTTTTTCTGCCTTTTAAAACACACAGTGCTAAAAATAACATTCTAATATAAAATGTCCTTGTTTTAGGTCAATTGTCAGTAATAAAACAATCTAATTGAACCCCAACATGTCAGTTTATTTGTGATTCATTCAGATGCATTTTACCTGCTCAGAATGAAGGAACGATTTGTTTGTTGTTTCATTATTTCAACACACTCACCCTCAACACAAACGTGTGTATTAGGGGAGTCCTTAATCCCCTGTACATTAAGTCAAGCTGTCCAAAGCTTACTTAATGCTTGACTGAAGCAACAGGCGTGTTGTCAGGACCTAATGGACAGACTTTTACGCAATTAAGCACTGATTGTTGCTTTCAAAAACCATTAAGAACGTGAGACAGAGAACAGCTTTTTCTTTCTTCTAAAATTACTGTGCGAGATAAATGCCTTCTTTAGATACAAATTATATTTAGAGTAAGTTTACAGAATGGGCAGACTGGAATGATGACAGGGTTTGAAACATGATGGAGAAAAATGAGAAATTAATTAAATGGGCGAAACAAAGAGCCAGAAAAACAAAAAAAAGCATGCCGTGGGATGAGAAGGCGTCGAAACAAAAATAAAACAGAATTAGGAGACTGAAACTGCAGGGCTTGGATTTCATTAACACTGATAAAGGCATCAGAGGATGAAGTCATCTCACACATTCAAACTAAGAAAGAGAAGAAAAAAAGGACACAGGCTAGGACTGAGAGAGGACGGAGATAAAGAGACAGGAAGGGAGAGGGGGAGTCATGTCTTATTAATACTGTGACTGCTCTCTGGCAGTGAGTTAAAGCACACATCTACCAAACATCTGTCAAATGGGGTAATCCATACGGTTTAACATAAGCTCCTGGCACCACCCCTGAGCATGGACTTACGCAGATGCGGCGATATAAAACCACGCAAAACACTGGATGTGGAGTGGGAGCAGACCCCTCTATAGACGCTGTCATGTGACCTCACTTTACCTCCCGAGTGGACACAGCTTTGGATTGAGAGCTGCTTTGTGCATACTCGAGTCTGTGTGTTTGCTCGAATCAAATATGTATGACGTGTTTCTCACCATGGACCTGCAGCATGGCTGAAGCCTCAGTCTTGCCCACACTGTTCTCAGACGTGCACGTGTACGTGCCTTCATCCTGCTCCTTGACGCGGAACAAACGAAGGTTGTTCCCGTTGCGGATTTCAAACCTGGGAACGAAGACAGTGAGATGATAAAAGGCCTGACAGGGCTTTGTAACAAAATGCCGAAAAGAATCCCACACTAATCTGCACAAAAAATAAATAAATAAATCTGATAACGCTGAAAGATAACAACATTCTATTCTTTGTCAATCATCCTGTTGCCAGGGTTTTTCTTCCATGTCAGGTATTGTTATCTGGAAAATGGACAAGCGAAACAGTGTCTTATCTGCCATGAAAATTGTCAACTGGCTCCAAGAAATTTCTTAAAACAAAAAATCAATCAAGAAACGGATGGAGTCAACGTAAACTCTACCACTCATCTTAATTTATGCAATGTTGACAGCCATTTAAATGACAAAATATAGTATTTAAATATAGTATTTAATTCACTTTCAATTTGTCTTGCTAATGTTTCCAACTGCATATTTGACCTTTTAGGAGGAATGTGCATTATTTCATATTTTGAACCATATAAGTCTCTCTAGGAATGATCCAGTTAAGTCTACAAATACAAATTAGCAAAAAAACATGTTTTCTTCCCATGTCAACATATGAACATGAGATTCAAAAACTATTGTTAATTCTGTCCTGAGGCTCATTCCCCGGTGACTATGGTGTTAAGCTGTGCGTAAGCATACTACTGACTGGGACCTTGATACCAACTGGGGCCAGAAAGCAAGATAGGCAAAATGCAGATTTGAATTTTTTCTGAAGGCGGATAAAAGTGAGGTGTTACCTTGACCTTAAGAAGTAATGACACTCCGAAGAATTAACGGAATCAGCACTTAAGTGGTGATTAGACACCAGACTGACAAAGCCATATTTTTTTATCCAACCTGTGTATCATCATCCCTCCACCGGTCTGCACCAGGGTCTGTTACTCTCACCTCCCACGGGGGAGCTCTCCTTCCTCTCGGCGCCATCGCAGGGTGGGGGCAGGATTCCCATGGACCTCACAGAGGAAGTCAACCGTCTCCTCCTCCATGACCACCTGGTTCACTGGCCTCCGTACCAACACAGGACGCTCTGCAGGGCACCAAAGGCCAATATATGAATATAAATAACATATATATACACATATATGTGTGTGTGTGTGTGTTACTATGTGTGTGTATGTCTCACCGTACACCACCAGCTCAGCGGGATCACTGTCCCTCTCTCCTACCATGTTAGTGCCCACGCAAACATACATGCCAGCATCGCTCTTCCGGGTGTGAGAGATCATCAGCGTCCCCCCATGTATCTAAAAAAAAAAGTGTGCAGTAATTAGAGAAGCCATCATTCTTTTTTCAGCTCAGAATACATTCTACTGAGTGTTGCTGATGTCACTCGCATCATTTCAAGCCTATATGGAAAAGTCCAATTTAGAAGTGTTCATGTATTTTAATGCATGATGATTCCCGATAGAACACCTGGTGAATCATCTTTGAGTGGTGGAGGTCCACTTGTGGAATGATGTCACTCTTTCGTAGTCTCACAAAAGTTGAAGATTCTGTGTTTTTCTTATATGCTTTAAAAATATTATCTTCCTCCACTGCTTCTATAACTGCTGTTAATCCTTCATTAATTTCACCTTGTCACCGTTCAAAACAACCTTTCAGCATTCACACACTGAGTTCCTGGTTTTACACATGAGAGGACAAATCAACAGCGACACAAAGAATCTAAGACATTTTCCAGTCCACAGCATACCAAGATGTCTGCTCTGAATTATAGTTTTCGGAAACCATTGTCAATCTAATTCAATTTCTTTCTCTCTTGTATAATCGGTTTCTCCTTGAATGTCAGAACATACGAGACCCACAAGTATGAATTGGAAGCTTCAGTCTTTTTCCCTGCACTCAAAAGTTTGTTGTGGTACGGATACAAAAAGGCAAAAGCAACCACCAAAGAAAAACAACTAAACCTTAAACCTGTAATTTCCATTTGATAGAAAGAAAAACGTTTTTCAGAGAACAACTACATTGTAGATTTGAAAATTCACGCAAATCTATGATTTTATGCCAATAGCACTCTCAAAAAGTGGAATAGAAATGTTGACCCTTTTTCCCATCACCCTTCTTTTAAGAACTTTTTGATGTGTAGGAAACAGAAAGCTACGCCTTAATAGTTTTTCTGAGGAATTTGTATCTGTTCTTCCAGAAATGTTCAGCTGTCTGCAGTTATTGTTGTCGGATTCTCATTTTTTTTCTTGAATATATTTTTTAAAAAGAGACAAATGTGGACCCATGCTGGAAGTCGTTCAGGATGGGCATTGTTCTGATAGGATGACCACGGCCATAAAATCATGTCTTGTTTATGGTAGCTTATATCTGTCAAACATTCTACCATATGCCCCTGCATCAGTTATACCATCGTCCCTATGCAAGCCTCCTGTGCCCTCACTGATGACAAATGCCTGAAGGGAAAAAAGAGTCTGGAAGGTCTTTCTCATACTTGCATGGTTACATCAGGCATCAGTTTGTCTTTTTTTTTTTATTTGCCCACAAGCAGCACAAATGTGTCCAATTTCTTTCTGTCCGTCTGAGTTTAATATGCACCCAGGACCGCGAAAAGATGAGACATGGTTTTCTCTTTGTGCAATGCAGTTCCAGGCTACATTTAGGGGCGCAGCAGCAGAATGTGTTGGGCGAAAATGGGTTTCCAAGATACTCCCGAGCCCATGTGGCTATACTGGACACGGTGTCAAGAAGATCTATCATGCAGGCAGGGATGAGGAACTTAAAGGTCATGCGCATCCTTGGATGGACACACCGGGACTTACTCAGACATTATGATTATTATTTTCACACATATTAGCACAATAGATGGTTTTTGGCAGATTGATGATTTCCTTAGCCATGACCCATTCTTGCTTGAAGAGATTAATCCCTTTGAGGATTCTCCATTTATAATCTAGAAAGCTATATGTTCTGTATGGATTATATAACCTGTATAACCAGCATTTCTCACGAGATTCCAATGAAATTTTCCATCTTATTTTTCTCCCGTCTTAACATTTTTAGTGTGGTACTGGTGTAAACAAATAAATCCTAGAGTACATTTGTCTGTTACATGAACATGTAAATGAATTACAGCAATAGACTCATTCATTCTAAAAAATGTTGCAGTTTTTCTGGAATATAGTTGTATCTCATACACTGCTTAATACGTGGCTTTCTTAAAGACCGAATTGGACATCTTAAGCAAAAACTGTCACATGTATGGATTAATTTATTGGCTGCGTGCTCAAATTGCAACTATGAATGTGAAACAAAAATGTATATGTTCAATTATACAAATGCTCAAATAACGCTTGTAGCCCCAAATATGCAGAATGTGCCCCCTACCACATCTGTATGAGCATTACACAATAAGTCCATAATGTACGGCCACAATCTGTTGATTCGTGCTAATTCAAGTTAAATCTGGTCTAAAAGCAAAAGCTTAGTGAACAACTTCAATAATTAGATAGGAAAGACATATTTAGACAAAGAATAAGTTCGGTTCTTTGCTTATTTTGGCTTTATGTGAATTTATTCATGATAATGTGTCATATGTAATTAAGTTATGCATTAAATCGAATATTCAACAAAGTCTACATTCTTCATTAGGAAATTACTTAAAAAATATCCACCTGCTGGAATTAAAACACTGATTGAATGGATCATTATGATCTGATTTTACACCGACTGTGAGCACTGCAGTAATGCATCACATCATGCTTTTGTTTTGTTTTTAAAAGCTTAGCTGTTGGCTCGGTCTGTGTGAATGCTGGACTCACAGAGATGCGGTCATCTTTGGTGCTGACTCGGACGTTGTTGCGTTTCCAGGACACGGTGGGCTCCGGGTGACCACGGGGAGGCACACACTCCAACACGGCGGGCTCACCAGCGGCCACCACCACGTCACTCGGGGCCTGGCGGAAGTCATCTCTCAGGACTAAGAAGAAAAGGCACACAAATCTAATAAGGCTGAAAGGCTGTGTCTGCCTGATGTATTTAGAGAGATGACATGAAATCATACTGGCAAGCAAAAGCACAGCCAGTATCATCCAATGAAACTCAAGTTTGCCCTGCAAAATGAAACTGGGAATGCTTTCTCTCTCACATGCAATAATTTAGCCGAGTGTTGACTGAGAACAACCTGAATGAGACTAAGTTAATCGTATTTGTTGTATTGTGCATCACTGCTCAAATCCCCAGCAGCGTACTGTCAGACTTTGGTTTTAACGTTTCCCCAAGTCTGCATCCTACTTCTCTGTGTAACCTCCCATGACGCACATCTTTCCGTGTAACGTTGAGCAAACAAATAACACATTTCTAATTTAGCCTGGGTTAGAAGAAGATAAAATTCCCCTGCATTCAATAACACCTCTGTGTCACTGATTTGAACCACTGTATCATAACATTTGCGGCACATTTCTGCCTCAAATGGAAACAGTATTACACAGGAAAACCAATCCTGGAGTCAACGCTGAAGTTTCAGCTTCTGTAACCCTCCAGATGAGGACAGGATGAGAGGTTGGACATGGCGACCTTCTAATCTTTTGCTATGGACAGATGAAAGACTCAGAGTGAACTGTGAACTGAGTTTTTTCGTGAGACCTCCCGTACAATGGAGCCTCAAACCCAGACGCTCACATTTTCAAACACACGAAACGGCTTCACTCGTCACGTTGGACCACATCCTGCAGCTACACCCTGCAGGAATTTGCTTTCAGCCTACGTGTTTTTATCCCGGGCTAATCAATCAATGCAGTCTCATTTTACACTTTCATGAATATTTCAGGGATGTCTCGCTAAAACGACGATAGAGGATATTCTCCTTTTCCAACCATGCCCAATCTGTGGCAACATTCTAAAACTTAGCCCCTTCAGATTCCTTTCTAGATTCTTAGTGTCATACTTCCAGCTCACTGATTAAACATGCTTAATAAAGCAATGCTGAGTTGGTAATCTTCTGGATATTAACCTGATTGTAAACTACAACATCCTCTATTTTCAGGTGACAAGTAAGCCTGAAATCAGAAACAAAATTGCCATCCCCTATGGGAAATTCCTTTAGTTTGCTTTACAAATGGGTCATGTGAGGTTTAACTGTTATTCATGTTGGACTTAAGACCCATACTACATAAATTATATCATAACCTGATGTAATATTTGCTTACAGGGCCTGTTTCTTAATGTTTTCTTCTTTGTTTAAGACAAGTAGCCTTTGCCTCAGTGGATTTGAAACATTGGATAATCCAACCAGCTGTTGCTTCTCATTTTAAATCAGATGAAGTTTCAGCCCAGTCTCAGCAGAAACCATGTGTCAGAATAATGCATTAAACCATGGACTCATTTCCCATTATGGATCAAAGAGCAGAGAAGTGTTTTTATATAATTATACAATAAGTACTGGAAAAAGAAATAAAATAGTCTGCTCTCAGATTCATTTTAAATATTGAATCCAAATATCTGCTCTGCAGACTTTTTTCTGCTTGGCGCACCCTATTTCAAACAATATAGTAACTTGCATAAATCTGTTTATCTTGATGAGATTTTTTCTTCTTCATCTGCTTGTTATCCAGGGTAGGATGGAAAAGACGTGACTTCAATGTCTACGTGTGCACAGCGAGGCTCGGTTTGGAATCTCTGTGATAGCAGCAGCATTGATTAACACGGGTACAACATTGACTCAGTTCAAACACTGCGGCGCAGACAGATACGCCACGGTAAACACTCGGTTAAGCACAAACTGTAACTGTTGTATTTACACTTCGGGATGTAAAGTGTTCGGTCTGTGGCAGCAGTTTGGGGTTCGGGTGCACTAGATAAGACAGGCTGTTTGTCCTCAGTGTCAGTGGGGTAATGAAGTCTGCAGTCCTGAGGAGGAAGCTGCTGTTCTTCTGTCTGTTTCTTTTCCACCATAACGGTTATGCATCTTTTTTTTTTTTTTCTAAATAAGAGGGTGGGAGGTGATCAGTCTATGACTTGGGAAGGTTGTGTCCTTGATAATGTGTCTGCTTATCTTTCGTTTCTGCCAGCCCCGGATGCAGTTTCAAAATTGCATCCACACCTTAAAACGTGGGAAAATTGGTCCCGAATTTTTTCAAATCCAGCCATAAGGAGGCTATGTTTCTCCAGTTTGCTGCAGTCCAAAAATGACATTTCAGTAAATTATCTAAAATTTACTTCCACTACTACAAACTAATAAGGATCAAGAAAGCAACAGGTTTATGTTAACTTGGTGACTTTTGACCTAAAACGTGCTGAGACCCAGTTCCTTGAAAGGATTACTTGAAAGTACACCACAGCTTTACAAACTGTCCCACAGTGCAACAATATCCAAATGTGTCTTTCCAATCAAAGGAAGAAGCTATGGAAAATGCATGCTTGTAGTAAGCCAAGTCAGATTTTATTTGTCTCCTGCAGGACACCACCTTACCATCATGGGGAAAGAGCATGGATATCAGCCAATTACTGTAAGGTGGACCAAGGTTTCGAATGCAGAATGAGTCAACATTTTACTGTTTTCCAAAATATAAATCATAAAACAAAATTCAGTCAAGGTAATACAGTTTAGATTTTACTGAGATATTAAAAACAAAGGAATTCAATTCTTCTTCTTCCATCATTTCAACTAATTTATGCCAAATGAGTATCCCAAAAACAAAGGATTTTATGTGACTTTACATCCCTGAAACCTTCAATTCTTCAAGCAGAAACATGTGAATATGGATTTACAAACTTTGTATAGTTGTTTTCATCTTTACCTAATTTGATGTTTTTAGAAGAATTATTGATGATGCGTCTTGAGTAATAAAAATGAGAACTACCTCTAAAAACTATAAAAAGGTTATACTTTTAAAAGTTTTAAAATCTCCTGTGGCATCTGGCTTGAATTGGAGAAGCACATAAACACAACAACTTAAATCTAAGCATCCAGCTGCACCTGATCTTAATGGGTTAACAGCTAAGAATGTCCTCGGTAAACAGCAATAAATATTCCAAAACTTAGTGAAGCAGCGGACAGTTTTTTCTTAATGCAATCCATTTACCTTATCTACACTCTTCTTTTACTCAGACAGTGATATAACTTAACTTTATTGAAATGAAATGGGAGTTTACCTTTATTATTGAGAGAGAAAATTGGATTTTCCTTCTTTTCATTTATTTTCAATACTGTGACATTTGATAAACAAAACGGAGTAGGCTGAACAGGCCGAAAACTTATAACCTGCTCGACAAAATTAAATCTACGTTAGGCTTCGGTGATACCTTATAAATATTCATAGACAAGTAGTACGTGCGTAAGAAGGTGACTGACAATGTGTCAATGAACCAATCAGAGATTAGCCAAGGGGTGGCATCTGCTGAGGAGAAGCCTTCAAAAAAATCCTCATACCAGGATTATTACTAACTAAACTCTGAGCACTTAAGGTTGCAACAGTGCCTGCACCAAATCACTCTGCCATTATTAACTTGGTTTGCCTGTTTCAGAAGCTCTGTAGAGCTGGGGGGCTCAATTAAGGCAATGCATTATTTTTAAACCTCTGTCTATAAGGGCTGGTTAGAGTGGAGACCTTTGTTTCCATGCTATAGTGAATGAAGATAAATCCTGTGCTCGCACAGCTAATCCTCACAGTGCACACAGGCCCATAAAAAGCCCACGGATGACCCATACACACCTTTAGCATTTGGATTCTCTTAGGCGAAGGCCTGCAGAAAAAGTGGGACATTCGAGGGTTGAAACACACGCCAGCGAGCAGAGTATATTTTTTGACATCACGAGCAGCGCAATTTTTCTTTGAAGCTGTGTTCAAGTTAATGTGATATTTCGCTGGCTCTGGCTTTAAAGTCTGCCACGCAGAACAGAGCTTCCCGCTGATGTTTCCGTGTGATGACGGCTCCACAACGGAATTGATCCGTCTCCAGAGACACAGAGACAAACTCCCCCTCCCGAGGGGGGTTTGCTGTTCGCAGGAACTTCCCAGACATAAAACGAGTGGGTTTGCCAAGTAATCTCTCCTCGCTCCAGCCCATCCACACTGAGCTCAGACAGGCAGCATAGTTCCTGCAGGGCAGCTAAGGTTTAACCCTGACTCTGCAGAGACAAATCCTCATATTCCCCAAGGCCCTTCCTGTGAGCTTAAGCAATAGCAAGGCAAACAGAAAATGACTTTTATCGTTGTTTCCTGTTGGTGCTTTTTCAGAGAGCAACCATTCATTTTCATTACTTAAATATTTCGGGGATATACAGATTAGGAGATTTAATCTCCCCGGGAATATTCATCACTTGAATTCTAAGTGATATTTACCCCCCAAAAATACTGTGTTCAGCTCAGGAGCTAAATGCAGTCCATCTGTTGGGGGTTTTTAAAGAAATGAACATTGCATGGAAAGACGGATTAATCACGCAAAAATGACAAAGTATTGTGTTTGAACTTTGGTTTGCACTGGTGTTGCGGATAAACAGTCCACAGACAATTTGCATACAGTGCAAGTCGACAGGGGCGTGATGGCAGAGGGAGACAGCCAGAGCAGGAAATGCATACACAAAATCATGACAGTGAGTGAGGGAATAAGACAGTAGACAGACAGACAGACAGACATATGAATAGAGATCAGCCTCTGCGAATTCTGAGCTGGCAAGTCAAAAAGTTGAGAAGGCTGCAAAAGTGCACATTTTTTAGAAATGATCCCCAAAGCGTCACTCCAATTGTCCTTTTATATCAAGAACGCTTAACCTGTTTGCGTGGCGGTCTAATCCCATTGCCATGATACTGCCCTGTCATAGTTAATGGAAGCTTTGTCTACAAAGAAGAGAGATTGCCTTAATCCACCCATTGTCTGGATGTGTTGATGGGGGATGAGAAGCCACTCCAGAGCGAACAGCCTCTCTGGGAGCTGTTTGGTTATAACTTCCTCCATGTTCATGTTTGGGATAAATACA